GCAATCCTTAATCCTAAATAATAAGCTTTAGCAAAGTATAGCTCGTAATCTAACCGTTCACTTGGAGCAAAATTTTGCATACAAATGCCACTATAAGTCTTCTATGTGCTTAATGAGAATTCACTCCAATCCAACTTACAAAGTATGAAAAAATGCTCAAAAACCATACTAATATTACTTGGCTACCAACTTGAAAATTGATACAAATGTTCTAGCTGTGATTTCTCCTTCTCCAACTATTAACATCAACTCAAAGTTGGTATGTAGCTTGATCTTTAAGTCTTCTAGGACTATGCCAAATTTTACCTTGATCCGACTATTAGATCTTCAAATATCATAGAAACCCTATTCAACCTCAAACTGCCAACTTCTGGTAGGTTCTTGTACCAAAACCCAGATATCTCTCAATTTCATCATTGGATTATTACAAAATTTCACATACACTTAGCACACCTAATTAACCAAGAATTATCAAAATTTGAATTATAGATGTGATACCAATTTCACAAACTAGCCAGGAGTGCTAGCCATAATTGTATTACATAAATTCCAAGTTGCCAATACAAACCTTGACTTTGAACAACAATTGCAAAGTCCAAACAAATCCTACCAAAACGAGCCTTATATCTTTGAAACAAGCTTCAACCTAGCTCTCAAATCCTAATCTTTGAACTTTGAATGAATCCCTATTTTGTCCTAGGCGATCATTTTAGTGGCTAGAGGTCTGAATTCAACCATGTCTCATAAACAGTCGACCCTTGGATATCAATCTAACCTATTCTAAGGATTTTTTCTAATCTTAATTGTCAATCTTCAAATGCTTCTCTAGTTTGTCCAAGGTCATCATTTTTTCTGGCTAGAGGTTTGATTTCGACCCTATCTCACAAATGGTCAATCTTTGAGTATCAATCCAACCTATCTTAGGGATTTTTTAGCCCAACTCTACCCTCAACTTAATCCTAGTATCAACCATACTAATTATTTATCTCTTCAAACCTGATTTAATCAATTTATGGTCTTTCTAATGTAGTAAAAGAGTTTCTATAGCCTAGAAGGTAAAAGTACTAACCAACCTTCAACCTACTAACTATTAAGATGAAAAAATAAACTAAGAAGCTTTTATAAAAGCAATGTTTAGATACCTTGAATTATTATCTAGTATAATGTACAATTTGTTAAAAATATAGTCAAATTTAATATTGTCAAATATTGTCAAATATTGTCAAATATTGTCAAATATTGTCAAATATTGTCAAATATTGTCAAATATTGTCAAATATTGTCAAATATTGTCAAATATTGTCAAATATTGTCAAAAGTACATTTAACAAATTGTACATATTTTAAACTATTACTAGTAATATATAAATAATATATATATATATATATATATATATATATATATGTGTGTGTGTGTGTGTATATATATAATTTTAAACTTTTTTTTATTGTTATTGATTATTTTATTAGATTAAAATATAAATAATTGTTAGAAACTATTGTTAGAAGTCTTTTAAAATCAATCTTATATTTTTTTATTTATTGCATATTTACTAAGAAAATAATTTTTCATTTTATTATTAATCATTTTTGGCTGCTAAAAGTTTATCAAAAATCATTGTAATTTTATTAAAAGATTTTATATTTTATAATAATATATATCTATTTTACTCAAGATTCAAAAAACAATTCTTTAATTTTATGAAATTTCATACTTACTTTAAATGAACAAAGTAATAGTATAAATTTTATTCTATCTTTTATTCAATTTTGGATTTTATTTATTTATCTATTTTTAATAAAATTGTACTTAACAAAATAACATAAAATAGTCTTGGACTATTTTCTTTTTCATTTTTTGATAAAATTTACATATTAAAGCATTAAATATTAACATTCTTCAATTAAAATATAATATTTTAATCATATGTTATTTTACAATACATTTAATATTAATTAAAAACAATCTAATCAAGTTGCTTCATAAAAGAATGAATGATTTTAGCACTATAAACACAATATTTTAAAAAATTAAAAAATCAATTAAATTTTAATAATAATAATACTAAATAAAAAGAACAAAACTAAAAAAAATCAAAAAAACTGAAACTTGTCACATTAACTACATGAGCACAAAGAAACTTTATAACTAGAATGAGTAAAAATATTCTTTGAAAAGCAATATTGGGAAAAATTGTAAGTTATTCAATATTTTATTTCCTGACATGACAACCCACATTAACATGACAAGTTCAAATAATGTAAACAAGTTTGAAAAAGTGTCAAAGATTCAACATGTATGTTCTTGAATATTTTTATGCAATTTTCCGACATCCATCACACCATTGTTTAAGAAGAACCAGTTCTGAACCCCACACACACACTCACACACATCAACCATAATTATAAGTCAGTTTGATATTTCCACATGCAATGACTGAATTTCACATCTAATCTTCTGTGTACAGACCCTTCTTCTCCTCCTTTTCTCGTCTATCAGCTTTTGATTCATTTTTGTTTATTTATTTATTTATTTATAACTCGTTCTCTTTTCCTTCCTTTCCTCCCTTCTCTTTTGCTTGTGTGTGTGTGTGTGTCATTAGAGTACAACAGACCACACCGCAACACAGCCCACTCATGATCAACGTGGACGCAAGCTTCCATACATCCGCAAAACCAACCAAGATCTTGTCTTCATTGCCCACCAACCCAGCTTTAAATTATTTATTTATTTATTACACACTCGCTTTCTTCCTCTCACTCACTCTCTCTCTCACATTAACATTCACTAACAGACATACAGACAGACAGGAAGTCAGTGAGATAGAAAGCAAGCAAGTCAGCTAAGCCAGACCCTGTGATAAGGATCCTGAGAGTCAAGTGATGAAGCTTCCAGCTACTATGCTCACTATTTATTTATCTATTTATTTATCTGTCTATCTATCTATTTCTCTAGGGGACGTGTCATGCAGCGAAGCAAAGCAAAGGCTTGCTGCCTCCCAAAGTCAAAAACCGTCATGAAGTCTCACTGCCCTTCCACCGACCATGATATTAGCCCTCTACCCTTCACGATTCATTCATTCATCTGCACGTGTGTGTGTGCGTGAGAGTTCCAATCATACACATCAATCTATGGCCTGCAGCCTTGAATCGCTGCAGCGGTGGAGGCAGAACGGCGTGGGAGCGCGACACTGCGTTGGAATGGGAAGGAAGGCAAAGAAGGCAAGGCAAGGAAAGGAAGGGAAAGGCTCAGTGAGTCCTTTGGCGATGCGGCGAAGTGGGTAGGGATCTGATCGATAGAGGGATTGATAGATCGATAGATCCATGGATGCTTCTTCTTCTTCATCTCATCTTCACACCCACTTTGCGACTTCGCTGAGTGGCGGTGAGAATCCCCCGCTGGATTGCTGTCTGTGCTGCTCCTCCTCCGAAGTGGCGTAGACCTCGGCAACATCAACAAATGCAGTAGCTCCGTGATGGTCCATTTACTGAACTCTGTCTGCCATCCGCATCTCCAAAGCCTTTGCTTACTCGACGCAAAAATCTGCACTGAACCCACACTCCCTCCGATTTCTTCTTTCATGTTTTTTTCTAGACTTTCCGTCTGTCTTTCTGTGTGTTGTTGTTGATACTGGTTCGTGGTTATGCGTGTTGTCGAGTTGAGTGCCGAGCTACACAAACATGGCGAAGTAGAGTGAGCTGTGGCATATTCTTTGCTAAATGTGCAGCTCAGGAACTGATGTGTCTCAAGTGAACTCCTTCCAACACTGTTACATTTGGATTACAAATCCTGTTGTAAGCTGTGTAAAACAAGCCTAGAATTTTGTTTTGGTTTTGAAATATGCTTCTTGCATAAATCCTTTGGGTGAATTTCTTAAACCCTTTTTTTTTTTTTTTTTTTTTTTTAAAGGTTAATGGTTTTCTTCAGAAATTAAAAAATGAATTTGAATCAATAAGAACTAATGAAATTTACAATAACTTTAATATGTGAAATGTTAATAATTTATCAAAAGAATTGCTGAAAGTAATCATTTGAATAATAAGATATACAAATGTAAAAGAGTGGTATGTTTTCCAGAATCCAAAAAAAATAAAAGTAAAGGAATAATTGTTTAATTATTTGTTACAACTGTAAAGATTGGCGTGTTGCTTCTTGGAAGCTTTGTAGACTATGACATGAAATTGCAGTCAATGTTTGATAAATACTTTTTATTTGGTTTTATATATATATATATATATATATACATGTGTGTGTGTGTGTGTGTGTGTGTATTTTTGATAAATTTGAATTTAAAAATGGATTGATAAACAATTCTAAAAAATTACACTCGTGTAAGTTTCTGAACATATAAAAAAAATTATACATATCATTTTAAATAATTATCTATTTAACTTCAGTTGCTTCATTCTAAAGGTATTTAAATCAATCCATAGCTCCATGGATACTATTTTCCCAAAAAAGGTTAAGGAAAAGACCACATTAAATGCCCACTCTTTCCTTGGATCTCTTGTTGAGGCACTAATTAATATGGAAGTTACATGAAGTATAATAGCAACACCCCATTGTAACTCAGTGTTTTTGTTCTTCAACTTGTAATATTTTTTTTAATTTTACTTATGATTTTTTTTTTTTTTTTTTTTTTGGGGAATAAAAATAGAAACTAAAAATTTTAATAAGAATTGCTTGAGCTTACAAGTTTATTTTACATGTTTCTATTATTTGTATAAGTTTTGTAAATGTTAGTGAGCTCAATCTATGGTTTTGGTTTGTGATGAGTTTTTAGATTTTGGATATGTAAAAAAAAATGAAATTTGATAAATTTCAATAAACATATATTTTTCGTTATTTATTAACTCTTTTTAAAAAATGATCAGCTCTTTTTCCTCCAACTTGATAACTACAGTTATTAGATAATATTGTAACATCAAAAATATTTTGTAGATCTGCAATTTAAATATTTGTGTTTATATATATATATATATATATATATATATATATGTTGTAATAATATTTCACAAACCAAAATTAAAGGATTTATGTAGTCCTACTTTATATTATTTTAAAAATCATTTTATCTAAGTCATTTTGATTTCAAATTATTATTATTTATTGGCATAAGCATTTTCTTTAAAACTTCTATGTCAATTGTATTTTTTCTGATAATCAATAAAACATGTTTGCATAATTATTCCTAATATTGTTTACTTGTCATTTATTATTCCACTATATATTACTTTACATTGATAACTTCTTTGAAAATATTTTTTCCAAAGCAAAAGTTCCAAATGTTAGTTATAATTGTAAACATAGTAAAAGACTATATCATGAAAGATATTATGTTTGAAAATTGAATCATTTATAGATATATGACTCTGTTTTGGTCATACAAATTGATTAATTTATTTGCATTTTTTGTCCTCTTTTCTTATCTTTTCTTTTTACCTTAGATTTGTTGTCATGGTACAAAGAATCTTTGCTTTGTTTTAGAAATATCTTTGCTTTGTTTTAGAAATAATTAAGCAAGTAATCAAAATGTAATTAAGAGTAATACAGATGAGATGTATGCATGAATGGATGCATAGCCTATTAACCATGTATGGTTAAACTACATATATATGTAAATACGATGAATAGATTAAAACACAGGAAGGACACCACTTACTTTAGTAAAGAAAACAAGTTATTTATATTATATCTTTTAATAGACAATATTGTATTTAGAGTAATATTAATGAAAATAGAGAGCAAATGACGGAGTTATAAAGGGGTAAACCTCCTAAAATTTCAAAAGAAACAAATTAGAAAATAGAATCACTATTTCTGCTGTGTGCGTTGTGGGTAAGCACCCAGTCTTCAGGATAATACATGGTGACAACACTGTCAACGTTCTACCGTTCACTGTAGGAATCTGAAAGGGCTCTCAATTGGGCACACCTATTGTTACTCGTATTCAAACGTCAATAGAAACGTATGGCTGAGTGTCCCTCCCAAAGGAGATGAAAGGACTTCTGAGCTTATGAGACGTTTCAATACTAACAGTCAAGCTCGTTTCTCCTCAATTTGTATGTAAGTTATACACACACATCAATGCCGGTTGTTGTCCTCACGGACTCTACCCAAATCGTTGCTCGTGCCATTGACATATTCTAATAAAAGTGACTTGAGCTGCCAGGCACCCACTGCTACTATGACCATCGATGAAAAGATTCTCGCTATTCAGGACAAGAAAGAACAGAATGCTGCAGTCATGAAGATGCTCTCCATGGTAGGCGGGAGGCTTTAGCAGGTTTTAGCATTCATGGACGAGAGACCATAGCCATTCAAGTGCAACTGGAGCACTGAATGTGCATTGCACGCGTAGCGAAAGGTCGACACAGGAAAATGATGCTGTAGAGGCATTTAGCATCTGATTTCATGGACTGAACGATCACTAAGCCTTGGAAACGCTTTCTGGTACTGAGGTGTTCTAAAGCGAGCTATCAGGTTCATGTTTGAATGTGCAGAACTTATGGAGAAGAGTCAATGCAGGTTACAACATACCTAGAAGACAGCCTTGTAGTCAGTTCAAACTCGATTTTCCAGATGACCCAGCGCTGGTTAGCATTTGCCACTTTGACCTTCTTCCACTTATTGGTGAACTCGTAAGAGAATTGTATTGGTTGAACATGCCAACCAGTACACTTAAAGAGGATAGCGAGAAGTTGCAGAATTGCTGGATAGAACTGGAAGTGGTTGCTTCATATGAGCAATAGACAGATTGCAAATGTGCTGCTACTCCGTTTCTGTGAACACAGTTTCACGTAAGTTCAGCTTACAAGACGATGAGATTGGTTTGGTATGCAGAAAATTGTTGGCCCCAAACTGCATAATCGGAAGCGCGACGCTTTTACGAACTACACAGAAGCCGTCCGTCGCTTTGACCAGATGATCAAGAAACCACCAGCCAAACCCCAACCATATGTGCCCTTGGAAGTTAAGATGGAGCAGAAGAGGAAGAGGATAAACGAAAGGAAGGCCCATCAATTAGCAGCTCTGAAGAAGGTAGGTGCTATACCCGTTACAGCTGGTACCAAAAAGTAGCTCAAATATCGTGCTTGAATTGCTCCAGGCTGGCGAGTCGAAACTGATTTTCGAATCATACAATAAAAACTGCTACTGTTCTCACATTACTGACAAGATACTTCTAATTATTCTACCGGCGTTGCACAATCGTTGCTTCATCATTGGGAATATATGTTACACAATGAAAATGCAATCATATGCAGAACATAGTCAGCGCAACCTGTGTTAAAGTAGCTGATAGAACCTTGATAACATGAACACATGGGTGCCCTATGTTCATTTCAAAAAGTCGTTGATTTTGCTACGCACCTCATATATAATTCTTTGCACGGTTTTCAGAATGTAACAGGTTAACAGTAAAATGTAAGGGTACAGCAAAAAGTCTTAAAACTGAAGCTTCATACCTGTAAAGTCCTGAGTATTTGCCTTTGATAATTGACAACGTCGCATTACCGATCAGGCCTTCTTTGCACCTAATCTCCCTAACTTAAAATCTAACTGGCGAAAGATCGGATAAAACCTAAAAGCTGAGCTTCAAAATGTGATGTACCGAGACAACCTAACTGGCAGGGGTGTTTTGAGACACCAATTGAGGTCGCACTTCGTCAAGTTCTGCCAAAACTTCGTCTTCAGGCCTGTAAATGAAGTCTATCATTCTCCAAATCTGCAAATATAAGAAACACGGATTATGAAGAAGAAAGAATTCAAAAGTAAGGTAGAAACTGTCCAACCAAATTACTGTTGTCACTGTGCAACACGTCATAACGTTACTTTTATGTCGTCGTCATATGACAGATTGGCATACGATTAGAAGTGTGATGTATTTGCACCTGCAAAGTGCCCCCACCCCCGGGGGTGTTAGCATCCTCCGACACACTGACTATTGTCCACGGATCGCGCGAATCCCAATGAAAGTCCACCACTTTGTCCCTGTTTACAAAAAAGCCAATTCATAACCAAAACATATGGGAGGTAAGAGAATGTGATAGCATTTGCAAATAGTCAAATAGAATGAGATTCTAATTAAGTCACATCATCTTGTGCGTCCTTTTGTATCGAAGTCCTCACGCCTGGGTCATACAGAGTGTGTAATCAAAATGGCCAAACAAGTAGCCAGAGATAGCCACACCATGCTCCTGACTACTAAGGATGAGACTCAAATTCAAAAGCAAAAAGGACGAAAAAATTTAGTCCTCACATTACTCCACAAATTCCTCAAAATAAAAAGCAAAAAGATCCATTAAAATTACCTGTGCCCTGTGTGTTGGAAGAAAAGGCCTGGAGGAACTTTTACAGGTTGTTTCAAATTGGTGGTATCTAATGCCTTACCGACCTGTTAAGAACCACAAACTGTTAAAACATTTGTAATAAAACTATACTTGTTGCTAGTCAAAGGTAGTTATAGCTTTAGTTTAAGAGAGAGAAACTGCTTCAGAAGTATAATATGAAGAAATGCACACCTTTTCATAATCCCACACATTAAGCAATCCATCCTCGGCGCAGCTCCCAAACACAGAAGCTCTATCTGGGCACCACTACACAGCAACAACCAAAAAGCTTATCCTGAATAATTTCATACAACTGTTAAATTTAAGGGATCTTTCAAACAAAACAAAGTCAACGAAAAGAGATAACAATTTCCAGACCAAATCACCCAGTGTTGAAATAAAGAAAATACCTGGACACAGAGCACAGCAGCGGAGTGCCCTTCAAATTGCTCAACGGGAATAGCTTGACCCCTAGCTAAAATCTTTCGGTGATCAAACAACCTTACAGAATTATCTGCTGATCTGAAACGCCATAAACAATTACGCCGTAGAATGATGAGTAGTTTCTATCACATATAATAGGTCATTATCCGGAGCTCGTCATTCATTGCCTAATTGAAACCACCAGAAAAAACAGAAAATTTATTTTTCCTCGCTTCGAAGAAACTACTCATAGCCATGAAAAGAGCACTTGGCCTGATGCTCAGTCCAGGCAGTTACTGGTTTGATCAGCAGCATTACTTGAACAAGAATCTTAAAATTAGACACAATTAGTCCAGAGTGTTCTACAATATGACACATGAAATACTAATGTTTTCATAGGCTCATAACGACCAAATCCAAGAGACAGATACCCAGTTAAAATAAGATTCTCGTCATGAGCATTCCAATCGACACAGTGGAGGTCCGCATTGTGAGCCTTCACAACCTGATTGAGACACAATATATCCATAAATGAAAGATAAGAGCCAATAATGGAGCTTTTACCGAGCCAAATGTTAACAAAGAAACGAATTAACAGAAACGTATCAGTATAAAAATAGAGATGAAGCATCTTTTAATACCAACTCAGAAAAGACTTGGGAAGCTCAAAACCAGTGTAAACCTTGTATTAACTATTTAAGCATTAAAAAGGTGACTGCATGATGCAAATAAGACTTCTCAGTAACATTATTGGCCTCAAAAGCGGCGTTGATAATGAATGTGCTAACCTTCGATATTGGTTGGTATCCAGTGCGAGCATCCCACAAGAGGAGGCAAGAATCATCGCCTACACTGCAAAACTCATTCATGCTGCTCTTCACGCCGGAGTTTCGGTACAAACCAAAATCGTTTCAGTATACAAGTTAAGTTTCAAGCAAATAAAGCCTTGAATATTATACGCACTAATTGCAATTGGATTGCACACATGAAACTGCGGACAATACGGAGTCTTCTGACAGTAAGACTGGAGAAAGTCCGACATTCACAACAGCATCAAGAGTAAAAATGTAGCCCGAACCTCGAAGGACGAAATTGGACATCCTCCACAGTATCAGTATGGCCCTTAAAAATCCCTCTGGTATACACATTAGTAGTGTCGGCAGCACCCCCTGCAGTTCCTGATTGCTTGGACCCTGCTGCCGTCGGTGTGATTGATTTAGGAGTCTGCTCTTGCATAGTAGTGATATGGTCTTCTATGCTCCATAACAAAACACACTTATCTCTGCCTGCAGTCAGACACTCATGTTGTATGTTTTTAGTAAAAAAGTGAAAGATTAGACCAATAAATTTTATCATTAGCAATATTCATAGATTTCACAGTGACTTCGCTAAATACAACCCTAGTGACGCAAGCAGCTGCTCCCTCACCAACATCAGTGTTTCAAAAGCAGTTGAAATCAAGGTTAATAATAGCCTCATAGCCCTTTGACACCAAAATGTCACCGACAGTATACCTTACCTCCTGATATGACGTAAGGAGCAGTTCGACTTACGTTCAAAGCGAATTCAGCATTGTCAGTGTGACCTATCAAAACCTGTAAACAAACAACAAGCCTGATCAAAAGCCACAGAAGTTGAACGAGAGAAATTGCGAAATTACATAACAAACTTGTGCTAGCAGGTATGAACTAAAACTCAATTTTTTTCCTACGGTAGCGATGGAAATCTACGATTCAACTGAGTAGGATTAGAGATGCAAAATAACCAGATCGGGTTTTGATTCAGACGCTGCTGATGTTGTAGCTCGGTTTGGCTGAGTTTTGGTATTCCATATCAGAACCTGTCCAGATCACGAACGTGGTGTAAACGACTTTTACTCCAAATTAACATTTAAAAGCTATGCGAAAAATAATGGGAATATGGGAACATAGTACTACTTTGCAAACACTGCACCACAAAGTTATCAAATAGAAAAGAGTGATTTACCTTGGGACTATCAGTATGCGTGGCAAGAATATTGCTATTCTGAGGAATTTCTCGTATTCTGTTAACCTACAGAAAATAACCAAATCATAATGTTGAGCTAGTGAGAGCACCACAAATTAATAGCATTTTTCATGTGCATCAATGTAATAAACCTGCATGACCGCTAAACAGCACAAGTGTGCAACGGAACACAAATACAAATGATAGAAAGACATGCTTACACCTCTAAGCAGAAACGATTTGAAAGCAAGTCTAAGCCTCACCTCACCAGGATGAATAATAGTTTTGAGCTTCTTCAGGTGAGGTGATTTTCCACCTTCTTTGAACTGCTTCATCCAGAACATAATTTTAAAATGTCAGCACATAGCATAAGAATGATATAAACTACGAACTGCAACACTTTAATCGATTTACTGCGCCCAATGGCAATTATTCTGCACAAGAACCCAAAATAAAATTCCTGCGCATGGGTGATTAAATCAGTTCAAACTTTTCAAATTTAAATCTTGAAAAATAGAATTAAGAATCTAAACAAAACAAGAGTCATACGAACATCCATATCATAAGACACCATAGTTTATGATTTAGGCAAGACTAACATACAGCTCCCGTAAGTTAAGGTATTTTAACGCAAGTTATAGCCAATATATTCAAATCGGTGGTTGTGATGAAACTTCAGGACGTTGCGACATGCAACAAGGAGGAATAAATGCCTGTGAAATCTGTTCCGCTGCAGCAGTTCGTGGCTTCATAATGTCACATTGGGCAACAACGATGGTGTTTGGACACTCTCCATCCGTCTGAAAACATCCAGGAGATCAGGCGTCAAAAATAAATCTTTAAAAATAACTGATAAGAACAATCACTCATAAAACAGTGTAGGATTGATATGACATACTGCAACTCTAACTGATGAACTTTAGAAACCTACAGCGAAGCCGGTGACAATGCTCAATCAACATATTTATAGTTTACATTATCAGAGGGGCATTATTGACAAGTAGAGAGAGGATTGACCCTTTCAGAGTAAAAAAGAAGTTGACGAGTCTTGGAGGACCCTGCCTCCAACTGCGGCCCCCACCTGTAGCCGAGTCCACACAAGAAATTTAGATATTTATCGCAACACAGCCAAAGGCCACGAAGAGTGTAAGAGTTCTATCGGCTATCTAGCTCCGTTCAGACTACAATGACAAAGCAAGCTCGAGCAACCGTAATGAGTGGAAGAACCAATACCAGACATGAGTTCCTTACAATAGTATTAAGAATCTATGCTGCATCAGGGTGTACGCTCTTGTCTCAAAATTAAATAAACTAGCGGTTTGAAAATTCACATTACAAAATTTTGAATAGTTCTACGGTTAAACTTTCAGTTCAAGCTTGTCCAACTCATACAACTTTTAAATACAAAGTACGTAGGGTTTAAGTCTATCCATGATTTGGGTAAAGAAAATCAAACTGTACGCTTACAAAATCTAGTAAGCACTGTATGAGAGCTCGGGTAGCAGTAACCAGTTCGCCAATGCCATGCACAACCTCGTAACCTATGGCAATAAATATCTCTTCATCCACACAACATTCCGATCGCAATCAAATCAAGATATGCGAGTGAGGAGCAAATACCGGCAAGAAAGAGAGGGCCACATAAGGTGATGATTGGTCAGCCAGTCATACAAAGCTGGGACAAGCAACTTCCATTGCGCGTACCGATCCTCCGGAACCTTCTTCATTATATTCTCTGCGCTCCCAAAAAATCAGCAATTCCCATCATTTTCTGCTCAATTGCAAAACTCGGCTCTATCGCCACTGCGACACCTTGAGGAAAATAAGCTATATCAGCTCGTACAAAATTAAGTCCACTAAATCTTAAAGCGCTCTTCGAGAATCCTTTCATTTGCTCCAAGCTCAAGAGAGAATTCCACAACGACCGAACAAAAAGCCACAGTATGAATCCACTCCCACACACCAAAACCTTCAACGATTTCAAGAACCAGGAAAATAACTCCCCGCCACATCAATACCCTAAAATTCTTCCGATTACAGCACATTCGGAACAAAAACAAAAAAAAAAAAAAAAAAAAAAAAAATCCTCCATGCAGGACGTTGATCCGCCAAACCAGTTCAGCGAAGACAGAACCGGGAGATTTTTAATTATTCCAACATAATCACTGCATTAACGCCATGAACCTAGAATAAATCGCAACATCGAGATTGTATAAGCACCCTGGAACAGAGTGCACCTTCGCTACAAAATTACAAATTAAGAATCGGGAAAAAATTATATAAATATACAAATATCTTAATCCAAAAACCTTACACGATTCAGCTGAATGACGTTGAGTGAGCGTTCGAGATTGCAATCGTGAGAAAGGGCGAGCATCCGTGACTCCAGCGCAAATCGCAGAGCTGCTTGTTTACTTCCTTGAGCTTCGAAAGACACGAGCTCTGCTCTATTGTTCTATTTCCTCCTCCGTTGCTCCGTTCAACTTCCGTCTCCTGGCCCGACTGGACGTCCGTCTGGACGACCCAGACACGACGAGGTTGGAAACTGTGGGTTAACGAAAAAGGCATCGGATTGTCCCTAAAAGTAAAAGCAGTTGTGAAAGGACCTTTTCGACTCACGCTTTTGGGTTTTATCATGAAAGTTTTCTAATTTTAGGATGGTCTTATTAATTTGAACTAAATAGTCATGGAAATTTTAATTTCTCTTTTCGAAAATAACTTTTTATCTGTTGATTCAAGAAAAAGATTATGATAATCTATTGTAAATATTAATAACTATGGTCCTTTAGTTTTTGACAAATTTATTCAATATTGAATGTAAGAAATTTGATGATAATGATAATGGTAATAGAAAACAAAAATATTACATATCTGTTAATATTTAAACAAATGTTAATGTTAGGATTTTTTTATTGACTTTATTATTTTATAGTTTTGTCACTATAACGTGTTGTACTAATTATCATTTATGAACAATTTTAGTATGGATGTGTGTGTGCATATGTGTGTGTGCATATGTGTGTGTATGTTTGTTTGTATGTATAATCATATATTCAAAAATTAAGTTTCATACTTATATGCAAATTTGGTTTATTCTTAAACCATGTTTCAGCTTTAGTCCTTAATTAATTTTTTTGTATATGGAGTTTTAAAATGTATTTAAAGTTGAAAATTTTGTGAACAATAAGCAACTATGTGGTTTGAATTTATTGAGAAAGTATATTTTTCAAGCTAATTTATATGCATATAAATTAATACAACTAGATTTCTATCTTGATCTTTAATCTGATTAATTTTTAACCTAAATAGATTTATATTTTAGAATATAAATGATAAATATTAGAGCATGATTGAACTTGTACAAATCTGTCAAAGATTTTTATTTTCATAAATATTAAACACATTAATTTTATTTTAAAAAATTATTTATTGATATCTTCACAATGTGTATATATACATATACATACATATATTATTTTTAATTTTTTGTGCTTTTTATTTAGCATTTCGAGAAAATTCATTATAATTTCTTATTGGTTGAATTCTAAATCAATGTAAACCTCTTTCAAAAACTATTTTTAAGGCACAAAGGTTCATAATTTTTTTTTTTATTCTTAGGATTTCATAAAAGAGGAATTTCCAACTCTTGTGTGAAAATAAAAATAAACATAAAAATAAAAACCTTTACCAAGAAAAAAAAAATACTACTCTGACAAACAATATATAAATGCTGTTCTAGTCTTAATTTTTATCAGATGATTCACAATTTTAACTGATAATTAATTCTTTTCGTAATTGAGAACAAATTAAAACGAAATGAATTACTTAAACTTCTTTAAGCTCTTTAAGATTTTTAAAACTTTTTTTTTTATTTAAATTATAATACAATAATGTTTGAAGAACATGTAATTTCCTAAATCTTTTAACACAAATTGTTAGTGTGCATATATATATATATATACAAAAGTATATATGCAAATTTTTTCAATATCTATTTTAGAAGAAGAATCATGTAGTCCAAGAAAAAAAAACCCTACTATATTGCAAATGTATATATATATTACATTTGCAGTAATTGAGAACTTGTAGACCTTTTTCTTCAAAATGTTGGGCCATTTTTGAATGACATTAAAAATATCTGAACAACTAAAGTTGCAAATAAATCATCTTATTGTTTCATATGCTTTGTTCACATAATCATCGTGAAAAATTCTTGTAAGAGATTATATTTGGATAATTTATTTTTATTGCAAATGTAATATATATATATATATATATATATATATACATCAATCATATCTATGTTTCTCTTTTGATTTTTAAATTTAGACGCTCAGAAATTATTTAATCCCTAAAAATTTTTAAATCTAAAGATAGCACATTGCAATAAAGATTTTAAATAATTTTTACGGCAATAATCAAAGAATCAAATAAAACCAAAAAAAATGCCCAGAAAGGAAGGAGACAAGAGAAAGGTAAAGGGAGAGAGTGTTATTACCACGCAGCTTCGCCCCCTAACGGCCGTTGAGGATGAAAACCGTCCGCTCCCATACCCGGGTAGATACCAAGGTTAGGGCCGGGCTTCTAAAGCCCTTTGTAGGGCTTGGGATTGAGAGTGCTTCTAAGGGGTTCGCGACATTGCAATTTCGTGCTTGCAATCTTCATCTTCAGAATTGACGACGCAATCCTGAAAGAATTTTTTGACGTGCTCACGGGTCAAGGGTTTAGGGTGCAAGGCGTCAGTCCAGTAGAAGAATCATGGCACGAAAGAAAGTCGAAGATGAAAGTGTGCACGAGGAGAGTGATGAACAAGTTTCTAGTGATAGCGGTGGCAGTGGAAGTGGCAGCGAGGACAATAGCGAGGACGATAGCGAGAGCGGCAGTGACGCCGACAGCGCCGAGGTTCGTGTTCTCTATTTGCAACCGACGTCAGTTTTTTCGACAATCTACTGGTCTTTGTCGTAAAGGTGGAGCTTGTATTAACCGATTTGTTTATGTTCGGTTGCCGGTAGAGTGTCGAAGTAGATATGTTTCGACTGCCTCGTGGCCTATTTGTGTGAAGTTGAGTTGTGGAGTCTTTGTCGTGGAGTTGAGATGATTAATTCTGATTGTTGCATTAGATTGTATAAGAGCTGAATGTTTGTACTGAAATTTGCTTGTTGCACATGGTATCTGAGCATGCGATTCTTACTGAGGAGGCTTTGAGTTATGACTTGTCGAATTGCAGGAAGAATTGCAAAGTCAAGTAGCAGATGTGCCTTTTGAACTGCTGCAACAGGCACGCAGCAATGGGCAAACATCTAGTTTTTCTCGGAGCAAGAAAGTGGCTGATACCAAGAGAGCAAATAAAAATAGGTCGGCATGATGTATACTCCTCCTGGCGCTCGGTTTCGCTCTAGAATATCCAGAGATCAATTTACTATGAGTCTTTTACAGGAACTGTACCTCGCAGTTTTTTTAGATAATCTTTACATTATATGACTTACAATGTTTGTCTTCTTTTTGCAGGCCGATGGAGATGACTAGTAAGAAACCGGTGCCGCGTTTTCGAGAGGTTATTCAGGCACCCAAACGGGTATGTATTCAGTTCGAATCGTTTCTAAGCACATTAGCAGAAGAGCTGATTGAGTATATTCGACACAGAAAATTATTGCACGGGTCGAATCTTGGGTATTTCCTGTGCAGACATGGTACATGCTGAGGTAATGCCTCTTGTCTTTTGAACGCAGGAGGTCCGGGACCCTCGGTTCGAGTCATTGTGTGGAAATTTTGATGAATCTAGGTATGCTATTTAAATGCTCATTATCGCTATTTGTTAAGTGGCTGTTTGGCAGATGGTTGCTATTCTGGAATGTCGTCTTGCGACATCAGCAGTATGTTAGGATGTAATGGTCATATTTTCGGCGTGTTTAGCATTTACTGTGTTACCGTCTGCGGTTATTATGTTACTTTTGTGTATATAGGTTTTGGTCAGAACTTTATCTACTAAGACTTTTTTTTGGTTACCGATGAGCAGATTCAAGAAGGCGTACAGTTTCCTTTATGATGAAGATCTTCCTGCTGAGCGCCAGGTGTGCGACACCGTCTTTTTCCCTTGCGGTTGTGTGGACTCGAAAATTTGCTCACATCTACTAGTTCTTGTGGATCTCACGCAGTGTGGTGTCACGCTCCTGAAAAATAAAGACTTGCGATCCATGTGAACTAGTCTTTGTGGCATGTTTGATCAGTTGTGTCGGCGTACGTGCCTGGACAAAGTTGGTTGAGAGTGACGAAGAATTTCCATTTGTGTGCTTTTGTGTTTGGCACAGAGGATTTCGAAGGAGTTGGCTAAGGGTGGCGGAGTTGAAGAAGATCTTGAAGAAAAGAAAAAGCGGCTTGAGTGGATAGTATGTCTCGAATCTCGGGATTAACCTTAGTGATTGCGTGTAGTGCAATGATATAAGAGGATTTATGTATTATGAAGCTTTGCCGGCTTTACATCTCTTGACTATTGGGAGCAGATGCTACCTTTTTGTGTTGAATAGGTTTGCGTGCGCTTCATTCCAGTATTTTGCATCCTTCTGCGAATGGCGCCCTCGATTATAAATTTTCAATCAAGAAATAAATTTAGTTTTTCCATGAATTTTGCAGGACAAGGAATTGAAGAAAGAACAACAACGAAGAAAACATGCTGAAACAGCTGCACAGCATGGAAGTAAGGAAAAGGAGGCTGTCAAGCAGGGGAAGAAACCTTTTTATCCAAAGAAATGTAAGGAGTTCTTGATGTCTATAAAGCTGACTCAGTTACATGTACCTAGGAGATGATCCTGAAGTTTCGATGGAATCGTTTCTGCTTTTCTTAGCTAAGGTGATTCTGTTTAATGATAGTGTTTGTTGACATTCATTTATTGTTTCCTCCTTTTGATGCAGCCGAGCTAAAGAAAGAAGAGCTTGTTGGGAAGTACCAAGAACTTAAGGTAAGATTTAGTCGCATACGTCAAAATAAATCGTTCGCATATATTTTATCTGCTCATTTTGGTCTTATTTTCAGTGTTTCCGAGCCTTTGGATTATGTACTGCTGGCATCATCATAAGTGATTCAAATGAATCTTACAGCAGACCCTGACTGACTTTCAGGCTAGTGGAAAGCTGGATAAGTTTTTGGAAAAACGAAGGAAGAAGAATGCCGCGAAGGATCATAGATATGTACCATATAGACGACCACAGGTGTAGCGTTCTTAGCTTAAAGCTCTAGTTACAAGAGTACCAGTTTTGTAAAGTAGATTATTTTATGAATTATTTTACATTTCGAGCTCACGTTGTCTGATGTAAGCAGCTTGATTATTCATCGACTTTCACAACTTGACCTACGGCATTTATAAATGTGCTGTTCGTTTATTAGGAATAGGACGTATGAGTTGCTGAAATTAATATTTTGATTCCGATACAAATTAGAAAGACAATTTGTATGGTGGTCCTAAATTGAATTGCTGATTCACACGGCTTTGCAGATCATTTTCAATTCTCGCAGCTTGGTCCTAGCTCCTTGTGCTGGATTCAATCATTTCTGAATAAGGAATCAGATTAGTTTTGAGCATGAAAATATTTTGAATGGCTCTGGTCCTTGAATTAAGGATTTGTGATCATTGAGCTTAGATTTGGAAACTGGGTTTCGCTACGTTGGAACTGAATTTTGTCATAACCTGGAGCCATAGCGGTAGGATAGGTGTGACCACTCCAATCAGCTTTATTTTTCAGTTTTTCCTCGTGGAATTGAAGTGAGGACATCATTAGTCATTCATACCTTCAGGTGACTAGGTAATGTAAGCTCTAGAAATTATAGATTGGAGGTTTGTGGGCACGATCAAAGTTGCTGCTAATGTCATTATAATTAGTGGGTTTCTGTGGTTTCAGTGTTTTGACGCAGTTCATAATAAACTTGTTATACTAGGTGATAGAATTTGCTGCTGCAAACGTGATTTGTGGTAATTATTTCTTTCCAATCTCAAATTTGCTTCAGTGCACATCCTTTCAATTTCATCATTAGGGTAGATGGCAGAGAGTTTTCACAGGTGCTTACACTAGTATCTATTCAAGGAGGTGAGCTGGATGATCAGCTCACAATTAGGATGACTTCTCTGGCTCATCTTAAAACTGATTACGGAACATAGGTGCCCCATGTTCAAATATCCTCTCTTTACACTATTTATGATGGATTGTCGCGGTTGCTTTTGCAACTGATGCAGTATTGCTATTAAATTCTAGGAGCTGTGTTCACTCGGAAGGGATATCGCAGTCCTATTTGTTTTAAGCAATTGATCCCAGGGTGTAGTGGTGCAGACAGGAATGCCTGGAACAGTGTTCTTTGGTTTTCTTTATCCTGAGGAGTCTGGAATTCTCATGCCTTCACCGGAGGTCATGCCTGTGTGCTGATCGGAATCCTGAAATATTGTAGTGTTTTTGGAGGTGATTCCACTGCTGATTTCTCATATTCTTCTGCGGATTCAGTTTAGCCTCTTCAGATTGAGATTGGAAATCCTGCTTGCTAGCTTTGAGTTCGGCAAGATCCTCATGACGACTCAGGGATACAGTAGCAGATGGTTTTGCTCCAGATAGAAATTAGCAGCTCCTTGGACACAAGGAGTGATATGAAAATTGTAGAAATCTTATTTCTCACTTTGGTGAGCTTCAACAGTCGGAACAAGATTGGAAGGCGCAGGAATCTGTAACATGAGTGATGAAGAAATGGCCATCCTCAGCCAAGTCAATGCACTTTTCCAATAACTGATGTGTGTAAGACAATGAAGAGTTGGAGCGGAGTCTCAAGGCATCACGGAGCTGGGAGGAGGAATACGTCGGTTGAGTAGAGAATTGGGTGTCAAGCGGCGCACACTGTTTCCAACCTTCGCACATCAGTTTGGCTTGTAAGAACCTTGATAATCATGGAAGGATTGAGCAGCGTACCGTTTAATTCACAATATATACCTACTATATTCCCGAGAATGTTTTATTTTGGGCCTGTAAATTATTAGATGATGCCTCTTCGTTGGCAAGAGGGAATTCAAAAGCAAGAACCTCTATAGAACGGCGAAGATTTGTTGCAGAGCTTGTGGACTTGGGCTGGCAGCAATGCTTTAGCCGGATGCGGCGGTAGAGTAGTTCTGTGTTATGGGTAGGTACTAAGAGAAAACAGCAGATTGACATTCGACGGATGATAGTACAAAGAGTACGTGTTTGTTAACTGCCGAAGATTCTTTCAACGCCTAAAGTCCTGAGTAGGTGCATCAGTAAATGCTCATAAAGCTTACATAATCTAAAACTCCGCTCTTCTTCATCCTTACTGGCATCCACACTTCGTTTTTGGAGCTATCTTCTCCCCTCGTAAGGAACAGTTTCATTGTAGTTCGGTTTCAAATATGAAATTGTACAAGATGATGTGAAGTGCACCTTCACAAATTGTGTCACCAGCCTGTCGCTCAACTGTTCAAAGAAACGTCTTGTTTTGGACCTCGAATGGTCGAATCATACTATGGATGTGGAACCTCAACTTTGAGCTGGACTTCCGGACGAAAGTGTCGTTTATTTATTTATTTGACACAAAATGGGGTACGGAAGTGTCGTTTAATTTGGATGATTTAGCTGGGTACTAACTTGTGAAAAGCAGTTGTAGTTGCCAGTGCGAAGAAGGTTTGTAACCCGCTCAAGGGAGAAATATTTGGCTGTACAGAAATGTTTTGGACTCCAAGTGGAGGTCGTTAGGGATTTTGAAGCTGTCGCCTACCCGACTTTAATGAAGGAAGAGCATGTGTGGTGAAAATGTTCAGTCTCTGAAGCTAGTCCTGTGAGATGCTTTTGACTCAGGTCTTCCCTAGTTCGGTGGAAGGAACGTAAGCCCAGATCGGCAGCGCTCTCATTGGTGAATTTTCACAAAACCTGGTGATTCTTAACACCTACGATTAGTACTTGGATGGCAAGACCTTGAAACACAATTTATATCTCCTTGAGATCACATTGGAAGTATTCTTTAACTGCCTCCAATAAGACAAGGATGAAGTGTGGGATGGCAAGCGATGCAACCTCAGAATCTGAAAAGAAAGATGAAACCGTAGCTAATGCTCAAGGTGAGCAGTCGAGAAAGCAACCACTAGATCCGGACAGCTATTCCCCACCATGCTGTGCCTTCAGGGAGAATCACTTACCGATCCACCTGCAACATCTTCAATACGGGCAACTCGACGAAGCTTTTTTTTCTCACTTCCCACCAGCTGCTCTCAATATGTTGGCGTGGCAATGGCCATCCAATCTTGCGTTTGCTGCTGCTGCACCGTGCTCGATGTCCAAAGACATGAGTGCCTCCAGCAACCATGAAAATACTCTGAACCCCGTTTTTGAATATGTCAACCAGCTGGGTGCCGTGTGCAAGCAGCTTCCGATGCATTTAGATCAAGCGCCCCAGCAGCAGCATCACTACCTGTGTCAGTATCCTCATTTCATGCAAATGCCTCAAGGTCTGGAGGTTCACGACATGCAAAATCAAAACACAACACCTTGCAAAGGAGAACAGTCAAATTTGGCTGAGCTACAACGGTCTGAAGTCACTCCTCATCTCACGAACATATCATCGGCAGTAAGCACTCATTCTATGCCTACGAATTTTCTTCCCGGGGTCTCCACTTTTCAACCTCGAGTTGGGAACAACCTGGCAGGGTACTCGAGCTGTGGCGATGCTGGCATGAGGTCCTCATACCCTGAGTTGCTTAGCAAAACTGCGAACACGCAGTCTCACCAAGGTGATGTACGAGAGGAGAATTGCTCCCGGAAGAGGAAGCAGGCAGGATCTGAACAAACTCAGTACAAGTATTCATCTCAATATGCAGCAGTATCGCCTGGTCAAAGGCTCTTCCATGCACCCACTTCGAGCGGTGCTTTGATTCCTCAGGACAGCGCTCATTGCATAGAGGATTGTCTCCAACATCACTGCCGTGTTCCTTGTGGCTCCTTGATGCCTGCCATGAGCTGCCTCGTGAATATCGATCCCATTGATTCAGCTGACCACGGAGCAGCACAACGGAATGGCTTGCAACCAGGTGTTGGCTTGTGGAGCCAAGTGGGTGCTTCCTCAGTTTATTCGCCTCGATGTTTACAGTGCGTCCCAGCACCAGCCTCTACTAAAGTCATTCATACTCCTTTCCTAGTGTCATCTGCCTCCTCCACTTCGCCCGATGTGTTCAACGCTTCGCGTGATTTCTGTTCCGGCGCGTCCTTACCGAGTTCCAGCTCCCCTTTTCAGCTTTCAGCACAGAGTGCTTTTAGCTGTATGACCTCGTATGACTCCCCTTTCTTACGACCAACCTCAAACCCAAAGGTCGCAGGTTGCTACATGCAATGTATGAACCCGGAGTTTACAACTCTCACTCCACCGACTGCAAATTTACCGGGATCCCAACGGGGTCAATCGGCGTGCAGTGACAAAATCACGAGGAGAGACGAAAGATCAGAGCATGACCCGAAATGCCATTCTTCTGACTCTAGGATCAGCATCGGTTCACCGGCAGGTATTGGTTCAAGACACGAACCAGCCGAAGGTTGTCAGGGATCCGACCCCGGAATAGTGTCAAGTTCAGTTGAGCACATCTCCCTAGTAAACGGTACGTTCTAAACAAGCTCTCACTTGTGAAGTTTCGCCTAAGTTGCTCTCTATTGCGCAGTCTAAGTCGCTGACTTATGCTACCTCTTGGTCTGTGCATACCCCAGAGTTTTCATCAAAAGAATCCGGAGATCGTAGAGAGGAGAGGAATGAGCTGGGCAGAACTCCGGAATTTATTGCGAGGGAGCCGTCAGAATCTGCAGGTGTAGTCTACTCCTCTCATCAAGGTGGTCGTTGCTCTGGTGGCAGGATTTCATCTCCTGAATTTTGTAACCTTCTGGGCCAGGATAAACATGTGTTGATGAGAAAGAACGGCCAGTATACTAGCCCAAATGATCCATTAAAAATGCAAGTTGGTGGTCTTGCACCAAGTGAACACCAAACATTCGATCTTGCAAATGCAACAGCGCTGGGCTATGTCCCGTTGGGTGACGTTCATGAGGTCCACACAGTGCCAATGGACAAAAGCAGCTCTACTCTTCGGCAACCTGGGATGAAAGGACAATGGGGCGCTGCAGAGGACAGAGTTCTGAGAAAGTTGGTGAAGCAGTATGGATCCCGGCGTTGGTCGCTCATATCGACGTTCATGGCAAGTGAGTACATCAATCATGTGTATTTTCTGCACACAAATGCCTCCGTTTCAAAAACACCAGATAATCTAATGGGATATGATATGTTAAAATCTTACTCTTGACAATTCTGGGTCATTCGGACATTGCCAGTAAGTATGAGAGACTGGACGTATGTACTCACGCCAGTATGTTATGTTTGCTAAACCAAGATAACCTCTCTTTCGGTCTCAGACGGCAATGTTTTTTCGTAACTGCGTTATTTTCTTTATGAGGTGGAGGGATTTTCAAGACATACTTTTTGCTCCATATATTTGTGGGGTTCTCACCACATCGTTGAGCTCCACCTCTGGAATAGAAACTAAGATTCATCGTGATTGTTAAATCTTATTCAACAGTGCGGTGTAAAGCCTACCATTAGTTGAGGAAATCAGCGCTGACATGTTTACTGTGGGAATGGAACAAACAGACCGCTCCGGAAAACAATGCAGGGAGCGGTGGGTGAATCATTTACATCCAGATATACGCAAGGAGGGCTGGACAACTGAGGAAGAAGAGCTACTTGTTCATGCACATTCAACCTTTGGAAACAGGTGGTCTGCCATTGCAAAGGTTTGTAACAAGATATTGGGCGCCGCCATCTCTGATTGCATTGCCGCAAGTTACAGACTATTTTGATGAACACATGTGGGCGGGGATTGGGTGATTGCATGGCTACTGCACATTCGAAGCTAGAACTTTAAGTTCGACTTGTTGGACCCAGTTGCAAACGTTCTACCTGCAAATAGTCGGTATGGTGTATGCAAGCTAATAGCACCATGCGGGATATAGTTGAGACCCAGTAGTTTTCTATATTCATACATAATATATCCAGCTTTGAAAGGGCTTAGAGACAAAATCCTCCTCTTGTACCCTGGGGAAGAGATACCAAGCTATATGAATATTCACGTGAAAATACTTGGTTAGAATACTGTTACTATTTTTTGCTTTGCCAAATTAACATCTACCCTTTCTGTTTGCACGATGATGGCTACAGATGCTGCCAGGAAGAACCGACAATAGCATTAAGAACCATTGGCATGCCACGTTGCGCAAGAAGGTCCACTGCAATCCAACACTATAATTTCCCCTTTTTGATGTAATCGATATCATTAGCCACTGGTTGCAATTGCAAAGCACCCAATCAAAATTATGCCATTCTGCGAGTAGCTCAGATAGATTTCATGTGGTGTGTTGAGTAGAACAGGATCGTCATGGACAACTTCGGCCGAGTCTGCTCAGAGAGTACATTCTAAAGAAGACTGCTGCTCATGACATGTCCGTAAAAGCATGGGCAATATTTCCTCTTCCTCAATCGGCTGATAATAATGAGGACAACATGAGCGATGCATATGTTGCCAATTCTGAGAAGGAAAACCGGGATGCCATTCAAAACATGCAGGTTGATGACACCACAACTCTACACAACTGCTACACAAAGGACCTTGCGGAGGAGGAGGCAAACGGTGAAGTCCATCTAGTAGACGAAGTTGTTGATTGATACGGTTTGCACTGCCAAGAGTGTGTACCCATGTGCTAAACTGACCATAATTTTTCACTCATCGACACAGGATTTTAGGGCACGTTTTGGTTGCAGTTCCGTGTCGTTGATGTTGATTGAACTCTGCTGTGAGAGAGTTTGTTGTCCCAACATGGTCCTTCAACTGGTTTTTAGAAATTTGTTTTGCTAACCTGATCTTCTGGGCTTTATCATCGTTGTTGTTGTTATTGTTGTTGACGTTGTTTTTGTTGTAATGTTGTTGTTATGTTAACGTATACACACCCGCCTACAGATTTTGATATTTATTTGGATCAAAAAAATACTTTTTTCTGGAAAAACTTCTTCACTCTCAGTCTCCATATTTTTATGATTTTTTTAAAAATCTTAACATGAGATATTTTTGCAATAACATTTAGGATTAAAATAAAGGTTTCCAACTAACATTAATTAATAAGTCTTCAAATTTTATTTTCTTATTTATATTTGATTCTCCATAATTACTTTTCCATTCTGTGCATAATAAATTAATTGTTGTCAAAACTTTATTTAAATAAGACTAGTTGAATTATCATTGTTCTTTTATTGAATTATTGTTGATCATTATCAAATTTTGTGAAGATCTTTGTAGTATTAAATATTACTAATATACTAATTTAAAGATTTTACAATTAAAATTTATAAATTTGGATTTGTGTATTGGGGTAAATTCTAAATTATTGATTTAATATTACTATTACATTTAAAACATGGTGTTTATGGCTATACTATGTCAAATAGATGCTTTTTATTTAAATTTTATCTATTAATAGTATGTTCATTTGTTAACATTAGATTTCTTAATTTTGGGTGAGTTGAGGTTGGTGTTGTATATGTAGAAAAGTTTTTTTGTCTAGACTTCTTATTAAGTCAAATCTTGTGAGTGTTTTTTAAAAAAATCTTCTTGTAATTCTTTAGAGATAGTAGTTAACAATTTTAATAAAACAATAAATGTTCTTTATAATTCTTACACTCTTAGTCTCCTTAGACTAATTTTGAGTAGACTTTGTAAGTTTTGATTTGGTCTCTCTTATTATTTTAAAAATCTACAAATCCAGTGGTAGAATTAGAATATTCTGCAAGTTTTTTAATTTTTAGATATATGACCTTTGACTTGGTGCTTTTTTTTATTTTATTGAGTTTTTGTTTTGTTGTCTTTTTGAAAATTTAACCTAAGCCACCTCCTTGTTTTTAATAATTTTGATCCTAATAGTGTATTTGAAATCTTCATAAAATGAGGTTCTATTTCATTAATGAGAGTGAAAGCTTACCCTTCCAATACTTTGAGGGTTGTGGAAGCTGAAGTCGGGCTTTGAGCTCCAAAAAACCTGCTGAGAGGGACTAGTGTATTAGTCGTAGGGGGAGGGCGAAACTTGCTTCGGTCAGCCATATCCCTCAGGGTTTGGTAGAGCGTTGTTGCGCGTAGCGACACCACGCATGAGTGTTTGAATTCCTTTACACAAAAGTCAAAAGAGTCCACTTGTTTATGATGCCTTGGCTCTAAACCCTAAATCTAGACAAACGATATGGGAATTTGCAAAGCAGCAACGGAGAATGGTTGCTAAAACATGAATGGCATCCAACGGAGGCATGACCTTCACAAAAGCTGCCATGGCTCCCGTGTGAAGCCCAATCAAATCAACCCATTCTCGGTCACAGTAGGAGAATTTCTTCCTTCTGGCACACATCGTAACCAATAGGGCCTCCTTATCCATAAGAGACACTCAATTCCAGCGTCCACATTTGACCTCGTAGCTCTACGCAAGGACATTGACCACCTGAGTGCGCATGTACTCATCGTCAGATTTGCGTCATAACTCGTTTCTAAGCCAATTCTTGCGGTCTGGCTCAACTTTTGAGTAAGCGAGTGCTTTGAAGGAGCACCTCACAACCCTCTCCTTCTCGCATGAGGTTTTTCTTCAATCTCCACCACCGTCTTCCCAACAAATTACGCAGCTAGACAATCAGCATCAGCAATCATCTCCACAAATGGCCTTCAACCCACCATTCTGCACCCCAAACTTGGACTGAGTATACCACCACTCTTCCCGCCGGGACCATAGAGGGAGGAAACAGTACAGTACAGGCCGCCAATCCGACTCGGGGCACTATCAGTCACGCAAGGGGACACAACGATCGGAGCCGAGTCAGGCTTGCATCATCTGAGGAGGACTTTGCTGAGGTCAAACGCCACTCGTACCATAACCAGCCCCGCCCTTGACGCCCACGATAAGACAAGAGGTTGGACAGCAAACCCAAACAGCCCTTTTACAAACAAGAGACCCTCAGAGAAACAGTATTTTCCTCTGTTCTTCCTACTAAGTTAGTGATAGCAGGACCGGAGAGACATGGACAGCGAATCCCTTGCGCCAGATCCATCTAGGCCCAAAACTTTACCACCACCCCCCTCTACCCCTGGTTCCTCCCCTTCAGACTTATGACAAGCCAACCCATGAAAGAGACTACAACGTTGCTGCTCAAGGAGGTACTGGGGCATTGGTGATGCATCCGGACAACTTATACCCCTAAGATTCTACCCATTAGGACAAGGGATCGACTTGTCTTTCCTCGAGCGGAATGCACTCCTTCAAACCTCAAAGTAGGCAGTGTCGGACACCCCCTGGTTGCCTCGAACAGAATCAGAGAGACCAGCAAGTGGCCAAGACAAAAGTCCACAACAACCCAAAGCATTTCTCTACCGGCCCAGCGGTAGAATCACCTTCCAAGACATTATGGGAGAGGACACTGACTCTTTTGAAGACGCGTTGGGATTTAATAAGACGGGGATTGGTCAAGTTAACAAAGCGATCGTCACCCCCATGCGCCCACAACAACTAGAAGCTGACTTCTCAACTGAATTATCCCCAACGGATAGTCAAATCATCACAATTCCATTCAAGAGGAATGAGGAGAGCTCCTTGCGCACAATGAAGGCACAAATTAGAGCTTGAGCTGCTGAGAGTCGATCTCCAGCAACCCCAATCTTGGCTTCACCAAACATCAATGTTTAAAAAATGTGCCAATAAAACAAAGCGCGGGAGGCGCCTCATCTCTTCTCCAACCCAACCCGCAATCATAAAGATACAAATGTTATCTTACGATGTTCGCAGACTTAACGCCCCGCAAGCCATTGACACTTTGAAACACTACATTCAGGGCCTCAAACTGTCCTTGGACTTCCTGTTCTTGCAGGAAAATAAGTTACGTCAAAAAACGGCTACCAAATTACACAAGCAGCTACAGGTAAGATCCACCTACTGGTGCCTGGATGCCACAGTAGGGTGCACTGGAGACGACAACAAAGCTGGCAAAGGAGGTGTTGCTACTTTTATTGCGCCAAAGTAGGCCAAGCTGGTTTCAGCAACCGGCTCGATGATGTCAAATTGAGCTCACTGGTTCATTTTCAGTGGCTTACCCAGAGGGGATGCAGGTTTTGTCAACATCTATGCTCCAAACGAGCCCAATGAAAGATGTGTGCTCTAAGAGACCTTGCCACGTGAACTCCCCCAAACGTGCTGTTGAATGCTTATTGGCGACTTCAATATGGTCAAAGGTAAATTTGACAAATCAAGGCAATGCAGAAGGATGATGCCTGCACAAAAACGAGCACTGTTTAACGAGCTCAAGGAAACCCTCAACGTTGAAGATGGCCCAAGGTTGATTGATAGCTTGCCCTTTTTTTGGGACAATCGTTGCTACATATTTAATGATTCCATGTCAGGTGATAGAACCATTCCCACCTATAGCATTCGAGGTGATTGGGTCTTCTCTGACCACCACCCTCTCTTTATTTAAATGGTGCTAGAACAAATTCAAGCCCGCCGCAGCTCATGGAAAATGTCAGCCGTATGGCTCCAAGAGGCCAAGCCCAAGATTCACAGGGTAAGGCAACGCCTGCCTTCTCATCAGCCCTTCTTCTCCAAATTGAGAGCCTTATCATGAAGATATCATGAGTTTTGCAAGCAAAAAGCTCAGGAGTATCGTCATGAAGAAGACTCACTTTGCAAACAGATAGACGATGCCTCAGCCAAGCTCCACATTGACGCCACTAACTCGGATCTCCAACAGAAGGCGGGCCAATTAAGACAACTCTTGCAGAAAATGGAATGCAGGAAAGTTGCTGGGAAGAGGATCCGAAGTGGAGTTTGATAGTCTCTCAGTAGTGATAGAGTGACGCGGGAATCTTTTGCAGCAATACGAGAACACCCGTCCACCTCCATCATTTCAGCCCTTAAGGATGAGCACCAAAATACGGTATGTGACCGCCCATCTCTTGAACGCCCGTGCACCAATTTTTACAGCTCCCTCTTTACATTTGAAACTCTGACTCCAGAATCGAAACAAGCGTCCGCAGCCATCCTTGCACAGGGCCAAGACCACGAAGATGCAGCGCAGCACGACCTAGACTTCTCATTTTGGGGACATTTGCTCCATTCGAAATTCCATTGCGAAGTAGATGGCACAACCCACCTTTAACTTAATCAGAATTTGCTCCTATTAGGAAATATCGGTTTGTTTGAGGCACACCTCCAGACCAGTTAAGTCCACACAATGCATTATACAACCACAATTCCTGGAAGTTGAATTAAAAATAATCACATTTTAACGAGACCACCGTTGGTGATAATTCAAGCAATGTTTGTGAGTAAACAAATTGCCTTTCTGTACACAGAAAACTAAGCAGGCCCAACAAGACTTCCATTAGCGCCCTAGCTAAAGCGAAGGAATCTCGACTGTGCTAAACCCAGCTTGTAGAGGCCAACCTCGTTCTACTACTCAAATATACGTAGGTCATCGTAATCTACGCTCCCCACACAAGAATCTGCTCGGAATGTACAGAGATTCACCGAATTACACAAATATCACAGAGTCATCAATCTGGCCAGAAAGCTAAGAAGGTGTTGATGGTGCATAGGCACCCAAGCCTAGCGATTTTGGGCGCTTCACAGCTTCCAAGGGGCTGTAAATACCTTGTCCATCTCTACCGAGGCCCTGGCCTTCAACAAATCCCATTTTAGACATCATTCGAGAGCCAAAGCCCTTGGTATGAGCCTCAAAATGGCCTATTGTTGCAGGGACGGTAGAAGAAACTTTCACAACAGTAGATGACCTGCTAGTCGTTGCTTCCCCTCCCTGAGTCATGCTAGATGTTTGAACCGTGGTAGTTACACATTCTGATGGCCCTGCTTCTAGGATTAACGATTCTTCTTCATTGCCAATAGTCCCACACGAGATGAAGGACATGGGATTACTTGCATATTTTGGAGCTCTCAGTTTCTGTCTTCCACTTTTCTCCATTGACTTTGAAGCTGCGCAGCACAGGAATTTTACCATGTTAGCACTTGGGAGAGGACATTCACTACTGAGATTTCTGCAAAGATCCATCTATCAATAAATTCTCAGATTAACCATAGAAATCAGTCAGAGAATTATTTGAGACTTAATGACATCCCAGTAAACGAGGCTAAATGCAACTAAAAAACAGACAGTGGAAGACAACAATAGTTGAAAATTACAGCTGTTATATCTGATTAAGGGCCTTATCCTTTCTTGGGTTTAAACTAATAAGAGAATCCATCACCTTGCATAAACTTCTGATGCTTCTTCCCGCTCTTCTTAGGATTAGGTGTATTGAAGCTTATAAAAGCATCGCGAGCAGCCTTCTTGGCCTTCTTATCCATACGGCGAGCTTCACCTGTTAGTGACCTTTTCAAGTTTTCGTCGGCTTGATCGAGCATCTACAATCAATCAAATACTAGGATCAGAAGCGATTCCCACACAACGGATAAAAGTATGAAGAGTGGATAGGCACGAGAGTAAGCTGTTCGAGAAATCTTTTTGCAGTTTAAGGTTCCTGTGACAAAACGGTCGTTTCTCATATTACATACGGTTTCATTTTTAGACTGTAAAAGACATCAGATTCTCGGGCACTTAAACCACACTTAGAAATTTCATCATTTCAGAAGTCAGTGCGGCATAAACCTCTGAGTTATGGCTTACCGAGGCAATGCGATACTTGTCGGCACCAGTAGGCAGCTTGGTGTGTTTAGTACGCGTCACCACAGTGAATCTGTCATTCAGGTAGAGTGGCTTCAGTAAAAATTGTTCGATCACAGCTTGAATAAAAATGGGACAACTAGAAGCATAATACATGTACTGGAACCACCTAACGTTGACATCCGTGTAGATATTTCAAAGGGAAAAGCATTTTACGATTAAATCTTTCTTACCTCTTACTGCCCGTACCCTGACTGCCGCTTTTCAATCGATAAATCGCTGCCATCTTATGGATCTGCTCATAGTTAGACAAAGGAAGGGCCTGATTATTTACACTAGTAGAAAAGATAAAACGTAAAAAAATAGAGAAAAAAGATAGACGAAGACATAAAACAGTTAGCTTCTCGTAACATATAACCATGGGTGTCTGATACCCTAAAATCTCTTACGTAAGGGAGGCCACATGATTTTATACTAGTGAACAGACTGCTCAACTACAGAAGAAGGCATCTGCAATTGCTCTCACCTGAGCGCGATCCCGATTTTCCATTGGACCAAACGCATAGATATCAGTGCCACGCAAAACAATGTCCTCCAATGCCTGTCCAACCAGAATATGCATCTTTTGAATTCAAGAAAACACACCATTCATGACGATTCCCACAGCTCCGTAGGTTATCACAAGCTAATCATGTCACAGCTTATATATGAAGCAGGTCAGATGTTGCACCGAATTGATGGCCTGCAGGTCAAGCCCCCTTCGTAGTGCGCGCTCCTGTCGCTTTGCAGCAATCATTTTCTTGCGCTCACGCTTTTTATCCCCTGTAATACCCATACTTGTCAAAGAAATCTTACGTAACAGAATGTTCACGGGAAGTGTTAGGCTGAATGCTCGTTCGAAACTAAATTACAATCTACGAGTGACTATTCTCTCTAGTCTCTTAAAAAAACTAGAAACATATATAAATTAAATAACTACAAAAAAATTCAACTAGTGTACAGGTTCCTCGTAAAAAGAAGTTTGAGGAGAACCGACCGAGCCCATATTTTAGTACTTAACCAGTAGCTTGCCATTTCATCTCGAGTATTGCCTCTGAGTAAAATTTTCTGAATTGGGTTTACATGGGATACAAAATTTACTGAATTAAAGTTCAGTTTTTTATTAGAGTTTCAGATCTAGGACATTCCGCTGAATTGATTTGTAACTGAAGGTCGATCCCTCCCGGAGATTAGTGGGGTGTTTACCAGGAATGCTTTTTGACTTCGTTTTACTTTGATGGACTTGTATTGGCCAAGTCACAGGACCATTGGATTTTTTGACATTCTTCTTTTTCTGCTTACTTTTTTCAAGAGTCTTGTTGACGTAGTCTGCAGTAGAACACACAACCACGTAAACCCCCGTGTAAGGACACATGTTCAACAGAAGACGAAACGCAGACCAACTGAAAAAAATACATCCTGTTAAGTTACGCACCAGGCATGAATTTTTCATCCTCCATGAGGTCAATGAGTTGGTCGAAACCCTCTCCATCATGAGAATCCTCCTCACTGTCCTCCAACACTAATTTTCCCAACAACAAAGCAGTCTGTGTTTTGCGTCCGCGTTTCCCACCTGAGCCACCAAACACTATTTCCTTCGATATGTCATCTAGCCCGGAGTCTAACTCATCATCATCACCATCATCGTCGACATCGGTGTCCATCAATTCTTTCCCTTTGCTCTGCCATTTTAACCGCCACATTCTCTCTGCAGTTCAAGACATGTTTCGCCACCGTCCATAAGCCAAATCGTACGATCAAAAAGAAAGTATGATTGATGTTCCCAAATTGACTACTAATTGCACATATAGTTTCACAAACCTAATTTTTCTGAAAATTTTCAGGTACATTGAGTGAGGAATCTCAGCCCAGTTCATCACAATAGCACTTTCAAAAATGAAAGCCGTATGTTATCGAGGTCACACCTGCTGATGTACTGCCGCTTTCGCTGGAACCGTCATCACTTCCACTAGCACCAGCGCTAGAGCTGTCATCATCATCATCATCATCATCATCTTCATCCTCATCTTCATCATCTTGACGACCCATATCTTCAACTGCAACTTGCTTCATTTTATTTTTCAAAATCCAAGAAGCGTCCACACTCTCACCTGCACCCTCCAGATTGGCTATGTAGTCTTCAACAAGGTCGTCATCAAGATCTGAGTCACTTGAATCAATTATGGATTCTCCTGATTCACTAAAAGAGTTATCCAACCATTCTCCTCTCTGGCGGAATTTCTTTTTATCCTTCTTGCCTCCTTTGCTCCTCCGTTTCTTCCCACTTGAAAAACTGAGTTCTAAAGATACATCAGAATCTTTCTCCAAATCTACACTCTCGTCGGAATAAGTAACCCCTGCCTCAGTAAAAACCTTCAATCCTCCAATGCTAATATATCCACCATTAATTCCCTTCTTCGAAGCTTTTTCAACAGAGCTCCCTCCTCTTCTATTCTTCTTAGTCTTAGATGTTGAAACAGAACTCTTTAAATGATTAGGAGTCTTTAGATGAAGATAATCATCTTCTTCTGTATCAACCTGCATTGCCTCTAAACCGGCCACATTCTTGTCCTCAACACAATTAAGTTCAGAATAAATAACATTTCCTGATTCCTTTACAAACGTGTGATTTGTACAACCACCAGACTCTTGATCCACGTATCCCAGACCAGTGTGTCCTGTTCCTAACTCCAGTGCCTCTACAACCTGCAAAACCGTGGAGACGATGTCATGATGATACTATTCAAGCTAATTAAGGTTCTTTGCACTTCCAAGATACCCTCACCGAGCATCACTGAGAGAATACAGATTACCTACAAAAACACATCATGATGAAATCAAGTTTAAGTAAAGGCTACGTCCAGAAGGAATTGAATTACGAACATACCTCTTGGGAGCCTTTGCGATCTATGTACACCTCAACGCGACCTTCAATTGCTGGAACAACAACTTCTCTTGAATCTGACGCCATGGCGACTTTTCCCGCAGAAGGAGAATTATATTTCTGTGAAGACAAGGTGTGTTTCATTTCAAAACCATTCAATCATGGTGGAGAGTATTAAAGAAGAATCAGACTATATCAGCAGAAAAATGTCACGAACTCGTCAATACACACCTTGCTGCACCGTGGAGATTCCTGGTTTTCGTTGAATGACTCTTCTGTAATACAAACATTCATCAAACTATTTGAAGACACTATTATGGGGTCTGTAACTGACAGGGTAATACCTTCTGCAATACACTCCGCCTTTGACCGTCCAAACGTGAGTAGTCAAAGCTGACAAAGGCAAATGGATTCTGTACGGGTCTGCTCACGCCCCGGTTGTTTCGTGAGCCTCGTTGAACACTTGATGTTTGTTGACGAGAACCCGCATTGACACCCTCAGGTGTGCTGCCTCCCCTACCATTAGCTGACGAAAGCATCACCACAACCAAAATATGTAAACCGTTGAGAAGATCGCTGAGAGAGTGTCTGTAAAGCGCACTTGAGCTAGAGTAGAAGTACAAACAGTATCCAACTAGTGAAGGCTCCTACAATAAATTATCATCACTGCAAAACACTTAATCGAATTCCTCCAAACTGCTTGTCCACTAGCACTGGAAAATAAACTAGATCTTTCACCATAAAATTTTAGAGAATTACCAATTACTTCATGAAAATAGAGAGGAATGCTGTTTGGTTTTAATTTTTCCAAATGAAAGCCAGGCTCGTCAAACCGAAATCATACATTGTAGCCGATCAGGTGTAGGAGCCTCCCAATCAGCAAGAGCTGCTCCAGCAACGAATCCAGTTCGCGACGCATCACCTATTCAGACAACGCTATGTCACATCATTTTCCGAGAGCAAAAAAATAAAAGATGAGAAATAAAAACCCTAGCTACATTTTAACTGATAGAATGTCTACACACACAGAAAACCACTTTTCCTTAAATTGATATCCGAATTGTTATCCGAATTTTCTTTTCAGCTCGATGCCCATGTCCAATGTCCAAACCCTCGCAAACATCATCCTACACATGCTGCTCAGCGCTAACACATTCTTCAACAAGAATGCTCGATGCTGCAGCACTCTCACACCACCAACAGAAAGCCTAAACAGGTCCCTCTACCTGTATCGACAACCTAGTGGCAACAACGGAATTCCAATCACCTGACGATCGTCTATCACGTCCTCCTCCTTGGTTTCGACCCCATCCCCGAGCACCGCCGCCTTCATGTCTGTCTCCTCCGCGACCTCTGGATCTCCGACCACCTCGTCCTCTGCCTCCTGTCATGCTCTACCTTCTCCTCTAACTCTTCCTCTATGCCTCAGTTACTTGCAGTCCACTAACACCACGAAAGCAACACCACCCGCACTTCAACAGCACTGCACAGAATTGGAACAAAGCTTGGCTGCGGTACTCCACCGCCAACACCACAGGGCAAGTGTGGGACTATGGAACCGCTCCTCCTTCCCTCCTTGCACAACACCTTTCCTAAATCTAAAAGTAATACAGCAAAACCACGCAGAAGCTCTTTTTTATATATTCCAGTTGCCATGAGCTCGTGGCTGGTAGCCGCTTGAGGCCGTAGCCGTGGACGTGACAAAGCTCGGCCGCTTGGCCAAAAACATCGAGGGGGAATATTCTACGAGGACTAAAATATGCTACTTGATGGTCGTAGGATCACCGTCGCTGCAAAACACCATCGTTTTCTGTTGAACAATGTTTAATGGGTACTTTGGAAACCCTAATTATCATCATCTTTAATCACATTTCTTTTTATATTTTTTTCTGTAAAATATGGAGGTGGGGTGATTTGAAGATAAAATAGTTGTTCCAAAATCTAGTGGTTCTAAACAAATTTGATTCTATTGGTTGCAAAATTAACTTCAAACAAGAAATATATTGAATACATTATGATTGACTTTTTATTGCATTAAGTGGGTTTCATTGTAGTGGAGATGATTATGTATGCAATTAAAAATTATATAATTTATTAAGTTTTGGTGTAACTACTAGAACTAAAATCAAATTGTTTGACCTAAATGAAATGTTTAAATGAACAATTTTATCAATCTTAATACTTGAAATAATTATCATAAATTTTAGTAGTAATGTAAAACGATTTTTGAAATCCAATTGAACATGATAAAAAAATTATCTTATTGATTTGATCTAGCATTTTTCCAAATTAATGTTGTTTAAGTAAAGATTGTGACATCTTTCAATACAATGTTTAATACAACTTATTTTTATTTATTATTATTTTTATTTTATTTCATTATTAGATATTTAAAATAGTTATTTTACACATTTGTAATGCATAAAGTTATATATATATATATATATATACAAAGATTCCATACACATTGTTATAACCATTTAAATAACTTTATCAAAGTTGCCACAAAGTGATGATATATTTTTTTAATTATTTATGTGCATATGGTACTTTCAACTTTTCTTAAGACAATATACACAACATTAAGTCCATTGAAAAACAAGCTCAATATTTTATTCATGGACATTTATTTTAATATTTTAAGGAATTTAGTGACTTTTAATAACATCTTTCTTATTATTTTAATAAATAATAATTTATTTATAATTATTAAACATCTAAATACAGTCCCTATATATGTATTTTGTAAATACTTCTAGAAAAAAATACTATGTCAATTGTTCGTGTCAACATGTCTCTACAGGATTAGCTTTCAGAATTATACCTTTGGTTAATTACCATTTAAAATACCACATCTGATGCAGTTATTTTAATTGAACACTGCAACATCGGTTTAAATAATATTTATTTTGATAACTTTAAACAATACAATCATCAATCAAATTGATTCAACTTCTGTAACTCCAAATTACTAATGAATGTTTCAGAATAGAAACTAAAGCTGAATATTATAATATGAGTCATGAAGCTCAACCATATCAAGTAACCTTTTACATTGAAGAATAGTGAGAAGGCAAAATCGAATTTGATTTTTAAATTTAGTAAATTTTATTACCACCTTTGTTAGCAACTAACAAATTGAGTTTGAAGCATGTTTTTAAGTCTTTAATCCAAATCAAATAATTACATAAAATCAACTAACAACTTGGGTCCACATAACAATCGAGGTCATCCAAGCCAATTCATCATGTAAGTAAAAATTTAAGGACTATATGTATTCCATCTAAAATTCTAAAATATCAAGGCTCACATTAAGCACCAAAACCTGATCCCTTCTGGAATAAGTTACAAGATAGTCCATTACATGCTTTCAGCCTGGAGAACATGTTCGTGCTCTGCTACAGTCCATAAAATTCCGCCAATACTAAGAGCCTGTATTCATACGTCGAACCCCACGTAGCTTGTGACTAGATGCCTGCATTGAAAATTAAGTTCTATGACAGCCTGGGGAAAGAAACTAGAGATTAATGTGCCTCTGGGTTGTTAGCAATAACAGATCAGATGCTTGCGGCAGGAAAATGACACACTTGTGATGTATAATTATCTAAGAGAATCTATTGAGGACAGGTCTATAGCACTACATACTACCTCATGCTTGGTTAACTAAATCCTTGACCTTCACTGCGATGCCAAGTTTTTTACACCTCGCAGATACCTTGTTGGCCACAGCTTGCAGCTCATTTTCTCGTTCCTCTAAAAGCTCTTGAAGGGCTTGTAATTTTTTCTCTTCATCACTGGCATCCAGAACATCACCTATCTTTTTGGAGTCGTGGCCGTTCGTCTCCTTTTGTGGAGTACGCATCATCATGAAAGTTTTATTGATGTTGTAGTCATTCTTCGTGTCAATGATGTGCTTCCCATGTCCTACTGCCTCATCTTTGTTGGAAAATATACCAGCGTGGAGACGCTTTATGAGGAGCTCTCTGAACGATTCTACTACACCCGTCTCTGATGATGCCAACTGCAGGAATAGTAGAGACTCCCAGCACCTTTTCACTTGTACCTTGGTGATTTTGAAAGCCTTCCTGGCTTCCTCTACAACCGATGCAGGAGGTACCAAGATGTTGTCATCGGTATCAACATCTGAGTTTCTTTTCTTACCCTTGGTGAAGGTATTCGATTTCGGGTCCAGTCCTGACGTCGTTGCAGTCTCGCCCCCACCTCCAGCCATCCTACGCAATCTTGCTATAGACAAGGAGAGCGCCGAGACAGCAGGAGGAAACTGCAGAAGCCGCTGCACATCCATGCAGTCGCGCAGCTCTTGCAAGCTATCTGAAGGATCCTCGAAGGTTATATCATAGCAGTCGCGCTCCACTGCTATTCTGTTGATAGTCTCCAGCAACCGATGTCCATATCCTTGTCCTTGATAAGGGGGTAGTACCAGAATCTATTCAAACGAAGGAAGGAAAAGAATTTAAATTAGCAAAAAACATAGGAACTACCGACAAATACATGACTAAGTTCTCAATCTGTTACTCAATCTTCAAGCCTGGAACACCACATCCTCTTTAGTTCACATCCACGCACAGAGGGAGCGAGAGCGAGGGAGACAAAGATGTGTATGCGTGTGTGTATGCGAGTAAGAGCTGAAGAATGGTGATTACAAACCTGTGCAATCCTCAACCTCGTGCTGTCAGGGTACCGGAAAAAGCGATAGACCGTGCAAAACCCAGTAACTATAATATCTGGGCCTTCTCCTTCAAGTGTCACATACATTTCCCACCTAGGATCATCACTTTCAATGGGCTGACCACCTACATTGAATTTCAATTCAGAAGCCAGGTTAGCATTAAATCATGATAAAATGCAACTACTCAAAATTGACCCATTGGAAGTAAGGCATATCAGTATCTTAGAAAAGCTCTAAAACCCACATGACGGAAAGATATTTTTGACATTCACTTTGAGGCAGGAAATAAATCTATAGTTCCATTTGCAGTCCCAGTTCAGAACTCACCCTCAACAAATAGATGTATCAGAGGCGTCAGACAAGTGTACCACTTCCTAACTCGGGGGTCCGTAAGCTCTAATCGCACAACCTGAAAACTCAAAGAAGTTCAAATTATCAAGACATGGACCTCAAACTTAATGAATACGATGAGTTTGAATGCCACTCTTAGATAGAGATGACAGAAAGATGACTAAAAATCAAACACTCACAGCCGTGTACACAAAACAATATCCATGAAATCAACTTAATCGCCCATATTTTTATACCAGATCAAAGGATGTTCGTATATCGGACTGTGATTATCTCAATTAAGCACAGTAAGTCTCATGAAATTTGAAAGACCCGCAGACTAAGAGGTCATTTACGTGCGGAGCAGAAAGCCCCGCATATACATGGTCCTTTCGTTCGTTTTTGAAGCCCACAAGAAGCACTCACAAAAAGGTCATGACTAAGGATACTATAATAAGAGGCAAGGGAAGCCTGATAATCTCGCAATGAGAAATACCTGTCGTAATTTTCCATTTGCCATCCTTGAGACATCGGATGGATTTCTCCCTGTAGGTGCCCTCCAGGAATCCACAGCAGTTCCCTCCTCTTTGATTACTTGCCTGTCATGTTCATCCGTCCACAATGCTTGTTCTTCAGCAAAGAATGAGCATGGAAATAACTGTTTGGATATTCTTGCGCTTAAACAATTTACTCTGTGATGTAACTTCGAAAGAAGAAAGGTGACGAAAGAATGCCCACTTACACAAAGGAATCAGTAGACTGCTTTATCTTTTCGATGAACGCATCCCGATTGTCAATCAGTGACTCACCAAAAATCTCCTGAACCATGATCATTTACCATCAGAAAATTGCATTATTGTAACTAGTCACTTCAAAGGTAGGAAATTAAATCTAGGGAACGCTTCAACAGAATAAGAATCCACTAAGAATGCCTCAATTGAACCTGACAGGTATAAATCCTCCTTTCATTTTAGAGTATTTTATCTTAAATAATCAATCAAGTAAAATTCGAAATGGTGAAAATAATGCCTCCTGAAAGGTCAGAAGTTTCTGAAAATCCAGAAAGTTCCACATTTATCACGTGTATTTGAGAGCGCAAAGTTTGCAATATATTGTGGGAAGAAGTAACCTTCAGTTTTGCACGAAGATTTGTCTTAGGATTTCTAGCTCCACCATCCTACATAAAAACACACATAAACCATACTGAAATCAGCAATGTACATTCAAAATTTCTTTTCAACATATTGGACACTTACATGAAATCGTTACGTTAGCCATAAAATCTAAACCATATCAAAAGTTAACACAAACCATAAGGCCAACTCACCTTAGCTATCGAATCGAAGGTAAGGTGATAATGAGTATAGAAGGAGACAGTGTGTATAAAAACTTCAACCTGCATACATCACCAGTAATTATGGCCTGCATTACTGGAAGCAGACTGTGAGAAACATAATGTAGAGATCCAAGTTATGCTGTAAGAGCTAGAGTGAAAAAGCAGTTAACCTTCAGACCAGTATATCCATATATTCTTCCTTCTTCACCAAAAAACTGTTCCGTGAACTCCGGTGGAAACGATAGATCCTCATTACCCCCTTGAAGATAATCTTTTTCAGTTTTAACTGCGCAACCACAAGCAATATTTCAGATTGTGTATCCTGAATGTAAACAAAGTCCCAGTATATATCTTACTGGGTACGAGTTCAAATAAGTAATTCAACAGTGGTGACATATGAAGCTGAGATAAAGGGTCCTTACACATCCTTCACAAAGAGATGAGAAACTAACCACATATTTTTTCTCGTACTCAATCAGCATTTACATCTGAAGTCACAGTATGCTAGGGAACACTAGCTCAAAAAGAGTTTTACCACATTACCAACGAATAGAAACATGAAATCCAAACAAACATTAAACTCACCAAGATGCAGCGTAATTGCTTCGTCAGCATTGCAGAAATTGTGATCCTCTGCGAAATGCATAGGTCACAGTTGTCAGTCCTCAATTATGCTGTCTCGGAACAGCTTCTGAAATTGAAGCTTAGAGTCTCACCGTCAGCCCGCAACGACTTTCTGAGCAATATAAAAATTAAAAAATAAATAAATAAAAAAACCACTTTGAGCGAGAGAGAATAAAAATACTCTTTGAATAAAGGATCCTCTGAAATGATGATCGTGAATCATAAAGATCAATGGGCTGGTCGAATCCAGAATTATCGACTGCTCCTGAAGATGGAAAGCGAACTCAACTAGGACATGTCCAACTACCCAACTCAAGCGTTTACGAGGTCATTTTCAGGCAACTAATCGGCAGCGAATACGTCGTCAGGTTCAATGCTGCACGAAGTTCAATGCAGAGACCTGTAACTTAAACTAGAGTTCAAGAAGCTTCTTAACTCATCTACTCCTATCCCAAATTCGCCCAGGGTAGTGCTCATACTAAACAATGGAGCTTAATATCAATGGTAATGCAATTAAGCAACCACTAACCCAATACTACAAGCCTCATCCTAGCATACTCCATTAAAATCCAGAAACATTTCTTACCCAAAGAGAGACTCACTTAAATCTACACAAAGCCAACTAACCCTCTGCACACAATGACGCAATCCGGACGCAACTGACAACCAAAAACAAACCAGGGGGGGGGGGACACCATTTCAACGAATGGAAAACGAGAGACGATCAACAACAACAACAACTCCATCGAGGGGGTAATCACGGTAAGTAAGGGTTGTTGCAGGGCATGCCATGTACCAGTCAACTTGCGGCGCTTGCTTCGGTCATCGGAGAAGACGGGCTCCTCCGGCTTCGCGCGCACGACCTTGCTCTCCTTGGCCATCCCGCTAACTATGTCTCACCACATGAACCACAAAAATGGGGGGTTGGCTTTCAAAAGCACGCAACATTCAAACTCCCAACTCCACACGCAACGTCTCTCTGTGAAGCAGATTGCAATAAAAACAAAACATCTGAAGTAGTGACAAGATGAGCAACAGACGTGATTCCTCTTCTGCAATTTGGACAACAGCGAAGAAGAAAGCCAACCAAGGGGATCGATCCCCGTTCCCGCCACCCCGGTCCCTCCCAAACCCTTCTCGACGACAACGGCAAACCATTGCGACGAAAAATAAACGAAAAACAACATCTTCGTCGTTGGTCGTCTGGACGAACCGCGGCTGTTTCTGATACTCGGTTTAGCTGAGAGACGGTTCTTCTGGCGAGGTTTTGAACCTGTTCACAATGTTGTGTACAGTATGTTTTGTACGGTACAGAGAAACCAATACATGAGATTGTATACTTAGGAGTGGAGTGCTTGCCTGCAGAATGGTTTTGACATTGCTCTAATCTGAGCATAATATTCCAAGCTTTCATTCGAGTGAACACAGGGTTATTGGTGTCTCCTTGCACACAGTAATGAATTACATGTCTATTAAATAATCAATAATCATGTGGGAGCAATGTTTGTGTAGATGGCTTATTAATATGTGGCTAGTTTTGTCATGTATTATGAAGAAAAAAATAAAAAATAAAAATTCAATCACATTTTAATCTTTGTATAGTAGGATTTACATTCAACACTTAAAGTGTAGAAATGTTGAAGAGGAGTGGATAAACCATTGTTAAGGTTGTGAACTTATTGAATTTTATGATGATGGATCTAATATAGTTTGCCTTGTTATGATATATTTTCTTCTTAGTAATTGCAACACCAATGAAAACAAACGTGTATGAAAGGTCTTACTTCAATATGAAGTGAAGGTTACATGTTTTAAAGAACACATGCCAATTTGATTGAAATATTTCTTATTTTTTTTCTTTTTCAAGGCAATCTTGCACAAACACATCTAAACACACTTGCAAGAATTAACAAAATGCACTTGATTTCATGTTCAAAGTTCTCAAAATCAATCAACTATGTAAAATATTCACCCACATTGTTCAAATCAAAGTTGCAGTGAAAAACAAGTGGAACAACAACAACTCCATAACCATAATCTCATTTAGTCAATATTCACAAGGCTCAAGGTACAAGCACACCCTAAATTACTGTACACACACCCATCGTGACTTTTCACACACCCAAGGCCTCTAATTGTCTTCTCTAGACCCCCTCTTCCTTGTCTTGGTGCAGATCTTGGACTTTCTCCCCCAACTTCCTAGTCCTCCTACATTGACAAGGAAGAGGAGACAAGCCAATAAGAAGCATTGGGTGTGCGTGTAGCAATTTTGAGTGTGTTTGTAGTGTGAGACTGTTGACAAATCAACACCAAGTATGGTTCCTAACACCATAGCATAGAATATAATACTCGTCAAACTTGCAACGAGGGGAGATGCCAACGTGGCGCATAAAATATGCCAGCGTGGCATAGCTCAGGAACTAAGGAAAGTGAGAACTTCGTGTGAGGGAGGGGAAAAAAATGATGGATACGCACTCCACTCTTCCTCATGGTTGCAACGATGGCTGTCTGCTGCTGCACACAATGTATGCAATGCAAAGCAAAAGCACGAGCCACGGACGAAGAAGAACCTGCTTGCCAATCTTCTTCGGTGGCACTATCACGGGACTTTACCACTAATGGTTGCAAAGGCTGATTGCCGCTCTCGCGACTAACATGAGCTGCTATGTCCAATTTGAGTGTGAGGACGGTTTGGGAAGAATCGGTAGCTTTGTCACTGGATGCTGAGTTTTTGATGACAATCCATCGAAGGGGCGAATTAGGTTTCGTGATGAGCACATGAGCGCAAGGTGTATTGCGGAGAGTTTGCAGTCTGCGTAAGTTGAGAGCGGAGTTGCAGGGAAAAGAGTTCGGGTGATATTTGTTTCCGTGATATCCTACGGTTGTGAAGCAAAGCGACGACGGTGATGGAATTGTGGCAAAGCCCCCTTGTGCCGATTGGAGCTCCGTATTCTGTCCTACTTTCTCGTGCGTCTGGTCTGGTCTGGTCTCCATGGCCCGGGAAGTGAGAGGCTCCCGTTCCTTGCATTTTGTCCGTTTTTTGAAGTTATCTGATTGTGGATTGATTGAGTGTGTCAGGGAGTGCCGCGGTAGCACCTCTGCGGGAGGCACGGCCCTGAGATGATTGGATACCTTTGAAAGGCTGATTTTGTCATGTCGCAAATAGTAGGATTGCAGTATCTTTGAACTCGAGGGTGTATGCAGTTCACATTGAGTTGCGGGGTTCATCAATTCATGTGAGGAGAGTCCAATTGTGTTTGAGCTTATATGTTTAGTGGCACTGTTTGGACCTATACTTCCATCTTCGAGGGGGGAAATTTGGGAATCTTTGGACACAATAGGTACATTGTACGAAGTAAGTCATCCAGGCTCAACGCGACACCTGTATCATTGCTTTTAGTGGCTGCAGGTTACAAATCAAACTAGATTTGCATTTAGGTTCCCGTCAATCGCAGATTCCTTAAGACCATTTTTTGTGAGATTATCACGGAAGGATCTGGACTTTTTTTTTCTTTTTCTTATTGTTATTATTTTTTTATTTATTTTATTTTGTCTCATTCGCGTCACTATCTCAGTAACGGATCCGAGAAGGCATACTGTGTAAGCGGGAGCCGCTTGTTTCAGGGCTGTGGTGCAAAATTTTGTGAAGTGAAATTCTAAGTTTTCATGCATTGAGCATACCATGGCGGGAATCCAAGCCATGCTTGGGGCATCCACGTTATACGACCTACAGAGGGACTCTCGTGTAGTTACACACGGTTCAAAGCACTCTCTTCGTCCATCTTTGCTCATCAATCTTGCTCTCAGGGTGACACTTCCCAGCTCCTTTGGAAGACAGAATTGTCGAATTACTTGCCAAGCTTCCAGCAGTTCAGGGAAGGAGGACCCATGGCAGCAGACAGTCTTCCAGCCCGACACATTTACTCAATACTCCGGGTACATTGCAGAGGCCGCCATTGAAGAAGCTGACCAATTCAACGAGTACAATGCAGATAAGATTGCTGCTGTTTTTAAGCGCCGGCCGTTTCTGCTGGCAAGGAGGTTGCTTCAGATTGCAGGGACCCTGGGATGGTGGGCTGCTGTCCGCTATGGCGATACTTTGTTTGGAAAGAAGGATCAAAATTTTAAGGTATGTTGAAGTCTATACGAGCTAGCGTCTGTGTGAGTGCCGGACCAAGTGTACAAACCTCAAAAGTTCTGAGAATTTAAACGCAATTGAAAGCTCTGGAATCTCTTCCCTAACGTTATCTATCTTCCAGACCTGTTTGTAAAGTAAGTTTCTAATATCATTTGTGATAACCTGCTATCCTCGATTTGTAATCTTTGAACTCTAATTTTGAAGCAACGTCCTCAGGAGAGGTCGCAGCATTTTCAATTGTCGATCCAATTTTGGACGTTAGAAGGCAAGCTTTGTTTAAGCGAATCATGTTTCTGCTATGCTATTAATGTGAGTATGTCCTTAAGCTGGGGGTGCAACATGATGGTTTGTATTTCTGCAGGAACGGGCGGGGCAACTCCGGCAAGCTCTCGTTCAACTTGGCCCTGTACTTAACAATTATACCTTTTTTGTGAAAACTTTATACACATTGCTTGAATTTTTGAAGGATGAAGTCAGTCTACATGTTTGATATTTACTGTGGTTTAGTCTTGCCAGCTGCATTTGCCTTGACACGTATACTGTACGTTACGAGCTTGGCTTTCAATGGCATGTTTCTGATTTAGTCTACCTAAGTGTATGACAGGCATTTGTGAAAATTGCCCAGGCTGTGTCTTCACGCCCTGTAAGTTCTACTTCATGCTGTGCGCTCTTCATGTGAATAACATAGAAAGGTCTATACCTGGCCGATTTTTTTATAATCAGAAGGTTGAACGTATCAGAATCAGGGTGGCATTTCCAACGAGTGTGCATGATGAATGCATTGGTCTGAAGCCTAAATCTTGACATGGAGACTTGTGTGATAGGATGTCATTCCGCCGGAGTATTTGAAAGAGCTAGCTTTGCTACAAGATCGCATTGCTCCCTTTTCGACGGAACTCGCCCTTCAAATAATTGAGCAAGAACTTGGGGTTACTGTAGAGCAGCTTTTCACTGAGATCTCACCACAGCCGGTTGCTGCTGCTTCTCTTGGACAGGTATACTTAAAATGACTTAGAAATATGGCTTTAGTGGTTGACCTCTACGTCAACATCCAATTGTTGAGCAGTCTAATCTTTCAACAATAGACACTACCAAACAATAGTAGGTCTTCGATAGATTTGCGAAAGTGGTTTTGTTGATGTTCTATCCTCTCCTTAATTCTGCAATTGATAATTGTCTGTCCGTACCAAAAATGCTTTTTGTTACAGGTTTACCAGGCACTATTGCGTGCAAATGGTGAACCAGTAGCTGTTAAGGTGCAACGCCCTGGGGTTCGAGCAGCCATGGCCCTTGATCTTTATATTTTGCGTCAACTCGCAAAATTCGCAAAGACATCGCTGAAACTCAACACAGATCTTCCAGTTAAAACCCCTTTCTTTTCTTTATTATTCATGAATTCTCGTCGTGTTAAATCTTTGTGAGCTACCTTTGAGATAACTTTTAGTACTTATATTTACTTGTGCACTCTTACTGTCAAGGCCCAATGTAGCAGGCTGCTGTCAGTGATTTGGTGTAATTTTTCTATTAAAACCTTTTAATTGTAGGGCAGATCGTTTGGGTAGGTCATTGATAGTTTAGAGAAGTTGTAGATTGCTACTCGCCAAGGTGGCGATTATGCATCAGAGAACATGAATATGCAAATGTTAAGTTTTTCTTTTTATTCTTTGGTGCTGACAGGTATCTTTTGGCTTTTGCAGAGTGTTGTTGACGAATGGGCTTCAAGTCTTTTCAAAGTAAATTCAATCACTGCTATTTTCCTTTTACTTACTTACTACTTAACATCTTCCGAAATAATAACCATAGAAGCATCACTGTTATTAATATGATAAGGTTTGGAATTGCAGGAAATGGATTACCAAGCAGAGGCTCGTAATGGTTCGCGATTTCGGTGAGAACCTTCGTTTACAACCGATTTCATGTTCCTGCTTGTCGAGAATTTCTCATGAACTTGACACGAATGGAACTAGTACTGGTCCTTTTGTTTGCATGCTTTGTGACATAATTGTACTGTTATTTTGAAAAAAATCACTTACTACAAAGTCCGATGTTATTAATAATGCGTCTACGCCTTAGGGACGTCTAATTTAGAATGACTTTTGTTTCGTCGAATACGATCAGCAGTTGAAATCGGAAATAAGTTTAAATTTAACATTGATGTGCACGGCAGGAAAATGTTTGGAAATTTACCTGATGTGGTAGTACCAAAGATGTATTCAGAGTTAACTAGTCGTCGGGTTCTTGTCATGGAATGGGTTGAGGTACGCCCTTACTTTTCTTGATTGAAGCTAGCTTTGCGCACAAGCACTGATTGTTAATTCTCGTTGTTTCTGAACAAAAGAGGCATGCCAGGAGGAAGATATAGTTTACTCTTCCTTCTAATACTAATGAAAATTAATAGAAGTTTAATATTAACCAGTAGATAGTTGTGCTAACCGTTCTGATTCGCTTCTCTGCAGGGACAACGATTGTCAGAAGTCAGTGACCTTCGCTTAGTTGAGGTAGTACAATTGCACCAATCAGTAATACTTCTTAGTATTGTGTAGACAAGTCGTTGAAGAACTTGTGAAGATTGCATTATGAACGTTATAAGGATAATCATGGAAACTTCGACTTTCATCACTTTCACGACCTTAGCTTAGTGATAGTTCACTAAGTATGGATCTTCTCATTTTTCAATCAGGTAGGAGTTTTTTGCTCACTTACACAATTATTGGATAGTGGTTTCTACCATGCGGATCCACATCCCGGAAACTTATTGCGTACTCCAGACGGCAAATTAGCTTATCTAGGTACTGTTCCACCTTTTTGCTAGAATGAGATTTTGACGCTCAGAAAATAGCTATCTACAATATTCCAACATAAGAACTTCAACTTGATTTTCGCATTTTTCTTCACGCTAATTTTGATTTGTATTTTAGCATATTAAATTGATTGAGTACTTGTGTGATTTGCTGGAATAGGAGATTTTGAGGTTCATAATCTAGATTTCTAGAAATTGTTACCACCAGCTTTCAATTCCTAGTAAATTTTACCGCTTGGCATGTTTCTCGTATTGCCTCCTCACGTGGCCTGTTGATGTGTTCAGATTTTGGAATGATGGGTGAAATGAGGGAGAATCTTAGAGATGGGTTGATTGAGGCCTCAGTCCACCTTGTCAACCGTGAATACGAACTTCTTGCTGGGGACTTTGTCACTCTCGGGTAAATATTGACTTCTCAATTTCACTTAAAAATTGGTGGCGTTTGCGACTTTAAGTGAGAAGTTGGTTAAAGTTTTGCTAACGGATGGTTAACGACATGTTGAACATTAGATTGGAAGGAAGACTAAATGTATCCGGTTGTGTGTATGTATCGCATTGAATATCTGAAAGGTGTTCGTTTTTTAAAATAACCTTATGTAAGTTTGTTATGGCAGGCTCGTCCCACCAACTGCAGAATTGGGTGAGGTCTCTAAGGCCCTTACAGGTACGAGAAAGCCTGCCATGATGTTGCTCAGGTCAAAGCACTGGATTAGAGGATCAGCAGCTCATTTGTTCTGGTCGCATTCTGGTCACAGGTTCAGGCAATCCTGCCTTTACTTCTCCTGGCCATGCAATCAATCTCTTGGTTTTTAATTTTTTTGTGAGATGCTGCAGGTGTGTTCCAAGATGCGGTAAGCAAGGGCGTTCGGAATATAAGCTTTGGAGATTTGTCAGGGAAACTAGGTGTCACCATGTACGTATACCGATAATCACTAGATGTCCGTGGTTAGTTGATGCATCGAGTTGACCTCACCTGTCAGAATTTCGTCTTTTCTTGAATACATTAGACTTGTGGATTAACATTGGATTCAACTCAGAAACAACAGCTGATCAATATGTAATCCGGATGTTATCTAATACCCTTGTGTATTGTATATTGTAAATCAGTAGTTTGATATGGTGATCAGGGACATGATGCAGTGTCTAGATATGATCATTGGTTGATTGGATCCTTTTGCTTGCTCCAGGTACAAATTTAAGTTCCGCATTCCTCCCTACTTTTCGCTTGTTATTCGAAGGTGATTCGTCTAATTTTGCATCTTTGATCTGTTACTCGACTTTTTTCTTCCTCACGTCATGCGACCTTCAAGGATCCCGTTATCTCTCTCTCAACTATTCGTATTCTTTTAAGACTTGTATTACTTTTCACAATTTGATTGTGAATGTTGTCAAGGTTGATGAAGAGTTGTTAAAGTAGTGCTATATTTACCGAACATTCACTCAATTTATCATATTTTCATTTCATTTTGAATATCTTTCTTTCGCAGTCTGACGGTACTCGAAGGCATTGCGCTGAGCAGTGACCCCAATTATAAAGTATTGGGTAGTTCGTATCCATGGATAGCGCGGAAAGTCCTCACTGATAAATCTCCAAAGCTTCGGTCAACTCTTCAAGAAATAGTTTATAAAGTACATGATATATCTTCCTTTCTCTTGTGTAAAGCAAAGCTGACGGGTCCATTTATTTGTCTTTTGTTAACTATTACATGGGCTTGCTATTACAACACAGTCAACTCTCGTCGGATAAAAATGTGAATAGAATTAGGAGCGCAGTTCACAAGACATTTTTCAATTCTAGTGTTTTGTCTATGACATATGCGGTACTTGTGGTGGATTCTTTCTGTGATGCAAGGTTGTTACTACGATCTTAATAATGTTGAGAGTTGTGTATCAACAGAATGGCTCTTTTAGAATCAATCGCCTGGAGTCACTATTAACAGAGGTGGGTGCCTCCATCGTTTTTGTTGAACCTAGCAGATTGTGCCGTATACATGATGGTAGAAATCAATTATTTGATTTTCTCATACTTTTCTTTGATTTCTATTACCACTCCACTAAATTATTTAAGGAAAATTATTATTCTTAGGTCATCATTTGTGCTCACGCAGTTTATTAAAAAATCAGATTGTAGTATATTGAGAATCTAAATTGACTCTGGGTGTTTTAGCGGTGATATGTAATACACTTACAAATGGGTTATGATTAACCGTTTTAAAATTAAGAGCTCTTTTTGCGAATAGGCTCATATTGATATGTGGCGTATGCTTGAGGTGCAGTCAATGAGACAGCCACTGAACGACCCGGCATTGCACATAAACAGGCCTGCTGAGAAGGAAGAAGTGGAAATAGAAAGGAATACTCGGAATTTTGTGAAACGCCTTCTTATCTTTGGACTGACAGAGCAGGTGCTTTTCTTGTCCTTGTCTGTCCTCTCCTCCCTGTCTATGAACATTCCGGATGTGCGAAATGAACACGTGAATATTCTGTAACTACTTTTTATGAGTTTTAGGCAAGTGTAACCCTACATGTTAATAGAATCGTTTTTCAAGTCATTAAATGCAAGGATAAAACTGTCACGGCTCCAACAATGGCCAGTTAACCCATGGGTTCAAGAATATTGTGCATGCGCATGCAAAAGAATTTGAAACTTTGATTCAGAACACGATTCGATTTGAATTACCAAATTAATCACGTAGTGCTGATTGGCAGGGTGATTTCGTACGGGAGTTGATATTGGATGAACTTGCTAAGGTGTGTTTCACTTCTCTCTGTGCTGTGAGGATTGGTGATATAGAATGTTTCAGTTGTGATACATACTTGAATGCAAGTTTTTGGACGATTTGTGTTTGCTGGATACCTCTCAAATTCAAATCAAGCATAATACTTCAAGAAAATGTTAGATTTTAGTGATTGAGAAGCTCAATGTCTTTATGCTCTTCAAACATATTATTCCGAAGCACCTGGAAGACTATGTCGGCATTTTTCGATGATCATTTTCTTGAAATTTGGAAGTGGTGGTATTACAGGGTATAGATGCGTTGAATCGAGTGAGTTTTGATGCTGCTGCACACAACGTGTTGACACGTTCTCCTATAGCTCTTCCTTTTGTTGCGCCTGTAACTGAAGAGGAGGATCTCAAGAACCTAGAAAATCTCCGGCAGATCTTGACAGTACTCATGAAATCTGGAAATTCAGGAAGTTCAGGAGTTGGGACTGTAGCAGGCATGACAGGTGGAAACGCAGTTGCAATCGAAGATGCATCAATAAACTCTCGTTCTGATACTCAGGTACCATCACAAAGATAGTAGTTGATAATGTGCTCTATATTGCTTTACGGGGCTCTACATGCACTTAATTTTAAGTTTCATGTAAATTTATCGTATGGTACCTTAATGAGCCAATAACACTCAAGAGAACAAGGCTTGAGAATAACTAAGGGGATAAAAATTGGGATAGCAATTGAAGTAACAGTAACGGGAATGAGCGGGTGTCGAAGACGCAGGTTGTCAAGAATACGAACAGTTATTACCTAGCGGACAGGACACGGTTCGTGAACGAAGACGACAAAAATTTAGCTCTTTCAATGGACGACATCACTGATATTGTACAGAGTCTTACTGGTTTGACGCAATATTTACCATTCCTATCTATTTTTCCTGAGGTGCACTACTTAACCTTACTGCTTGTCCATATAAGCTGGAACCTCACTTGAAACTTTATTTTCAAGCTTTAGTGATTGATTCTTGTGTGCGAATGGTGTACGTCTTGTCTGAATACTACCCATTACCTTTGTTGTATAGTCTTTGTTGCTTGTATAAGGAAATCAAGCATAATTCAACATTATGTTTTTCTCAGCTTCCTTTTCAAGCTCGTCAGCAAGCGGTATTACTACCCGCCGAACTTGCTGGAAGGGTAGCTTCACGTGTTGTTGCTCGCAACATCAGAGGAACTATCTCTTCTATCAGTCAGTCCAAGGTACTCAAAAGCCTGCCTCTTACTCCGAAATCTGCAGATTTCTTTAAAGTATATTAACTGCAATCATACAGAAATCTGTCTTAAAATGTATAATACATCTTTGGACTGCCTCTCAGATAATCAATGGTTGAGCGGATAGCTATTACTTATCAGCTTGCCTAAAAAGTTGTTTCATGCAACCTCAAGAGTAATGTTCTAACTTGCTTCTGCGGTATGTTGCAGAATGATTATTAGGGGATATCACAAGCTGTTATGCTCAGACAGCCAGATTACTACAAGATCTATAGTGTTCATAGTATGATTTGATGTTGTGGAATTGTAGCTTATGCCTTCAAATACATACAAATTGGTGCATATCTTAACTGAAAGATCCACTTTAGTTCCACCAAATTGCTACATATTGAGATATGCTGTAATTCATTCAAGGCTCGTGAATGAATACATTCAGATTTAGGTTGCTGAAATTGTAATGTAATGTAATTTTTTATTTTATTTTATTTTGATTTTTTGTTTCAAAAACCAAAATATTTCATTTTAAAATTTAATTTGGTTGCAAATGTTATATTTGTTACTGAATTAGATTTCAAAATAGACAATGTTTAAGAATAGTTTCATGAGTAGAACATTTTTATAAATTAAAACTTAAAGGTTAAGCATCAATATTTTGATTTACATAAAATAGCTAAATCTTGTATTACATCTATCAAGGGTTTTATTTTCTTCTCAGATTTTTTATCTTGTTTTATAATGGATGTTTATTTAGGACCAAATCACTAAGGCTTTGCTTTGTTATGTCCAAAAGCCTTAGTTTCTTTTATAGACAAAGACTTCATTGAAAAACAAAAAAATACCTTCATTTAAGAAAATTGAGCTTATAAATGTAGAAGTCATAGATGAATGTTTGTTGTCTTTTGAAGATATTATCTATAAAATTATTTCTTTGGATATAGCAGTTAATTGATATAATTACTTAATAATATTCAACATTATTAGATCTCTGTCCAATTTAGTTATTTTAAGTTTATTATAACTAAAGAAGTATAATTCTTAAATAGATTGAATTTCTTATAACCTTGATTTTTTCTTTAGTATAAGTTAGACTTCTATTATTCAAGTAAAAAATCATAAGTCTAAATCTTTTTTGATATATACAAGAGCCTTCATATATGCTATAAAAGAAACATCACATTTTACCAATTATGCTACACCTATTTTTGATAGTAGAAAGACTTCAAGTGACATTTCATATTAGTATCAAGATTATTAATACATATTTTAGAAGAAATTGCAAATATTCTTTTAAAGTATTGTCTTTATGATTGTTCAATTGATATTCAAGAAGAAACTCAACCATCATTTGGATCAATCTATAGCTTATCATAGAGCAAGTTGTCTAGAATCAAGGAATATATTAATAAGAACTTAGCTAAGAACTTCATTTGGCATTCAAAATCTTTGATAAGAACACCTATCTAGTTTGTGAAGTAAATGGATTGATTACTAAAATTGTGTACAAATTATTAAAGACTCAATAAGATTATTATCAAGAATAAGCATCTTCTACCTGTGATATTAGGACTTCTTGATCTATTGAATCAAATAAAGACCTAAATCAAAATAGATCTATGATGAACTTACAATCTACTATGCATTAAAAAATGAGATGAATAGAAGACTACATTTTAAATTAGGCATAGTCATTTTGATTATAATATCATGTTTTTTAGACTCACAAATGCACAAGTTGCTTTTTAACATTTAATGAATAATATTTTGTAGTCTGTTATTCGGAGAACAGTTTAATTTACTTTAAGAATACATAAGAATATGATTTTTATATTTATTATATATTATATAAACTTAGAGATATATGACTATATTCCAAGATAGAAAAGTGTGTATTTTTCACAATTTAAATTGACTTCTTAGGATATATCATTTTAAATGATGGTTTTATAATGGATCCTAAGAAAGTTTATACTATCATAAATTAAAAGATTTCAAAAATAATAAAAGATCATATAATATTTTTAATATAATATTCTATAATATTTTTTGCTATTTATCATTTACTATAAAATCTTCATGAAGAAATTTTCTCAAGTTGCAACTCCTCCAACATGTTTGACTTGTAAAGATAAAATTAAGTAGAATAAAGAAGCACAAGCAATATTTAAAGTTGTGAAGACAACTTTTAATTCTACATCAATGTTATATTGTATAGGCTTTTATAAGGCATTTTTGATGGAAAGAGATTCATAAAACTTTGTTTTGAATGTGATATTGTCACAAATAGGAGCAAATGATAAACTTCATTCAATAGCTTTTCATACAAGCAAAGTTTTAGTAATTAAGATTATTCCAATTCAAATCTAAATAATATTATTTTGTTGTAATTAATTTAAATAGGTATTATTTATTTATTATAAAAATATTTTATTTTTTAAAATAGAAAGAATGTGAAGAAAAAAATAAATATTTAATTTTTTTAATATCAAGTAATTAAATAAATAAATTCTTTTAAATATAAAACTTATACTTATAAGTTAATATGATTGAATTGTTTATTTATTAGATTTTAAATATGTATTATTTATTTTGTTTATATATCTATTATATAACATAACTTAGATGTAAGATAAAGAGATAAAGCAAACTTTTTATTGACCAAACATAGGAATGAGAGAATAAGAGAACATGGATAAACAAGAGAATGAATGGATGACAATTCTAAAGATTGTTTTTGCTAGTGTGTGTGTATATATATATATATATATATATATATTAAATAGCTTAATATAACTTTTTAAATTCTAAATTTTATAAAATAAAATTAAAAGACTATATATTTTATAATATTATATAAATTAAAATATTTAAATTAATACTAATTTTAGTATTTTTTCAAATATACTCTTATTTATATTAGATGCTATTAATTTTTAACAGTATTTTATATAATATATGAATAATTTTAATTTTAATTTTAAAATATAATCCATATTAAATACGTTTTTTTAAATTATATTTTTTAAAAAACCTAATTCAACTTCAATATATTCTTTGTTTATTTTAAAATCCCATTTAAATATAATTTTGATGTCTTCAACTACTTTGTTATTTTTTAAAAATATTATCTAATAGGTACATGCACATTTAATTAGCTTCAATCAACCACAAAACACTTTAATTTGAAGTTAATTTAAATAAATCTGAAATGCCAAATATCATGTATATGATACAACTTGCAAACATATTGTCAATATTAAAATTGCCTTTGAAAAAAATACAACTAGACCTCAAAATCATGGTTTAAAAATCTTTAATCACATACAAATATGTTTAATATTTATTCAAGAGAAAGCCTTTTCATACAAAGATGTCTAACTATAATATATATATATATATATATATATATACATACAAATATTTGAAAAAGTAACATAAATATATAAATACAAATATATACTTTATGTGAGACCTTTTAATAGAGACTTTAGTTCATGACCATCTTTATCAACTATCACCATATTTTTTTTCTCCATCATTTCAGTGAATCGCCACCTTGTCTGTATGCCTTAAAACTCAATTATGAAATGAATAAACAAGTAAAAACGAAGGTAGCTGAGGAGTAGCACATGTGCCTCTTAAAGTTACTAGCCTAGCCAGTCCTTGAGGGTGTGCACTTTTGCCATTCAGTCTCAATATATCAAAGGTTGGTTCAAATTACACTGGCGTAGTTTTCAAGTCAGTTCTGTGGTCTTACTTCGTGATTTCACTGTTGTCTGCAATGGTTCAACGCCAGCAGGTTACTTGCCTGCAAAAAAGATGACGAAACAGAGTCTTATGAACTTCACCCACACATCAATATGTTAAAAAGACAAAAAATAATAAATTAAATAAAAAATATTAATCAGCAAGAGTACAGGGATTTGCTCGTTCCCAAGCATTTCAGATTTCCCATGCTTAGAGTGCTTTCTTCATTGGTGTATTTTTTTGGGTGGTGGAAGGTCCATTAAACTTGTTTGAGTGAGGCTTATCTTGTTTCTTCAGCTGGAACCTCTGTTGGCAATTTTCCTGCAGTTATGATGCTAGAAATGCATTAATTCCGTTCGGTTGTTCGATTATCAGAATGTCAGACACACTGGTGAAGCTTTTGTTTGGTTGTGTTGTGATTTTTTTTTTTTTTTCGTTCCCGCAGTGATGGCAAAGGGGGATATGTTGATCACCAAACAGTTCACCTAGGGCTGTGAAAGCAACAAGAATTTCTTTTGCAGTTTCTAAATTCGGTAGGAGATTGAGCTTGCGTTCGATAGTTATTATCGTCGAAGTAGCCGTGATGCCCTTTCGCTCATATAAAACACGCGGTAGTAACTTCATTCTCGATCGTGTCTCAAAAAATAGCATTATTATTCTTACAGCAAGATCCGCTTTTAAGTGAGTGAGTGAGTGAGTGAGTGTTTTTGTGTTTATATATATATATATAAATATAAACCTATGTTTGTGTATTTTAATCCTGTGGAGCTCATTGCAACAGTCTGCGATTCCCTGTTGCCGTTTATGACATAGATGGGGGGGGGGTCACCATTCTGCAACTCGAAACTTCTCCTCTGTGACTGTGAACTCAGACCTGATGTTGAAAATCTGTCCCAAAGATTCCTTCCAGCTACAATACTTTACTCTCATGTTGTTCTACTGTGCGGGAATGAAATGGATTTCTTCGACAGGTGGTGGAACCTCTATTTGCATATTTGATTCCCAATCGGATTTTCTAGAAAGGTGCTGAACAACACCACATTCCCAGTCAATAATCCGGAGTCCCACGCTCAACGATGATCTCACAATCATGTCACATCTCCATTCTCATGGTCACTTCGGTGCTACGATGACAGGTTTTGTCAAGTTTCCCCTCCATAGCAACAACAATTGACTTATCCTGTTCAGCACCATGGCCATATAACACACACCCCTGGACATGGAACTGGAATTCGAGACTGCGGGTTGGATCTAACTTAGCAGGTGGATGGTGAAGTCAAGCACAACGGACCCTACATACAGGACCGAATAAAGTGAAGACGAAAGCAGTGCTTTCAACCGACATTTTGACGGAAATTCAAAAGCATAGACCACGGTCTTACGAAACTGAAAATGCCATATACACACACACACACTCAGACACATATACATTATGTAAAAGAATGTGTGATTCGGTAGGGAAGGAATGCCAGTGTTTTTTCCAGTTCAGTAAGTCGGAGGGGAAAACTCAGCATCTGATTCTCAGAATGGTGTTTCCACCTACAAAATGCCTCTCGTGGATCACTTCGAACAGGATTGGTGCAAACTGAATTTGGTGTGACCCACGTAATCGGCCAATGGCGCCGTGACGCAGCATGAGGATGCGCAACAGGCTGTCAGCTGCAAACTAGGGAGTTGACTTAATTGAAGTGCGCGGAGCTTTCCCTGCGCCGAAGCAGGTCCGACCCCAGCGTCGTCGCCGATGGCGGAACTTCGCTCTCTGGGGAACTGCTTTGACAAGTTGCAACGCACTGTTCGCATCCATCCACCTTCCCCTTCCCCGTGCAATCGTGGGGTCATTTCAATTACAAATTTAGGATACTAGCGCATCCTCGTTCCGGTTCCCATGCAACATTGAGATTCCACCCTCGGGGCCGGGATGCCACGGGGTTTTCTTCGAATCCCCCGAGCACCTTCTTCTCATGTGCAGAGCTGTAACTGCTATTCTCAGCCTCACTTGGATGGTGAATCGAACGGAGCTCGCTCCTGCCGACTTTTCAGGATTCTTACAGTCCCTGTCGATGTTGTAACAACCTTGTGCCGTTTGTCCAGCTCCGGGTTTGATCGATGCGGGGATGACTTGAAGGTGGGGTGTGATCGAAACTTGCCCGGGCGTGGATCGGGGTAGGTGTTGACGAGTTTACTGTTTGGGGTTTGGAGGTCGGATATACTGGTTGTACAGGTTTGCGAAGGTTGTGTTCGTTTGCTTGCAGCGAAGTAGGTGGATACATCGTCGTTGTGGAATTTAACTGTTGGGTCTGTTTTTGTTTGTTTGTTTGTGTTTTGCCTAGCTTTGATGTAACGGAGATGGTGACCAACAGTTTCAGATCACGTAGATGGTGGAGACCGAGAATCCCGTTTTTGTTTTTTCACTGACTCACGCAAGTCTGGAGGAAAGTTTTAACGTTGACTCATTCGTACTTTGTTGTAGGTGCAATTCGATGCGTCGGAGTTAAAGTGCCCTCGAGGTTGAGTGTTGCGTGACACCTGCCTCTATTTAGGGGAGTTCGGACTCCTCGTTAACTCTTCCTCGTTGTTCTCAGAATGCATATCGGCAATGAATTTGTTCACCTATGCAACCTCCAGTGCGCCGAAGGTTATGCGTTATCAGCTGGCTTTCGCAGCAAATATTAACAAGCGACGAAGGATTTCATCTGTTCATTTCGCTTACTAGCTCAGTGAATTCACAGGGTTCGGCCTCGGCTGTTGGAAAGCAGGCTTGGAGTTCAATCTGAGAATGAGGCTGTCGTGTTGGTACTTTCTGGATAGACTAGAGAAATACAACCGTGCAGGTCCCATTCTCCGTGTAAGCGTATGACAAAGTTTCCGCATGGGACTAAGGTTGGGTGAATTGGGCTTAAACAGCGCAAGGCTATGGATCTAATTTATACTGGACGCTGTGTTGAGTGAGGCAGGAGTCTTAAGACTTGTATATGGGATGCTTCTAGAAATGGTGGGCATTCACTGTGGCACTAGTATCAGTAGGAAGGGGGTGATAGGAAGAGGTGCTGAAACAAGGTATTCCTCGGAGCGAAGGAGACAGGGACAATGCAGATTGCACCGTTTTTTCTTACTAGTTGTGTTGTTGCTAGTTGGAAAGGCTTACGATGTGTGCTGGGCACAAAGCCTCAACGACACCGTTGCGTATTTGGACAATATCGAAAAAGAGGTCATTAGAGTTGCCGCAAAAGCCACCGAAAATTTTGCTAACACTTGTGGTATGTTTCTCACCCATATACTAAGCCATATTTTTGCAGTACAAGATTACGATGGTGCACAATTTCTCTCGAAATACTCTTTCCAGGCTTGGTTGGTGCGTTCATCCTCAGTGGGTTGCACTTAACAGTCCGCCTGTTTATTAGGCTCCTTTAGAAGATCAAAACCGACACATCGGTGTTAGATATGGAGAGTTTACAGGTTTTTTTGAAAATTTGAACTTAGGTGAAGCAAGGTTACAGTACTGCTTCTCTAGAATCTGTGGACTGAACTAAGTTGAGCACCTCAGATATCCATGCAATAACACGAGTACGTAAATTGCAGATTTAGTGGCTTCTTGCGGTGATAGCTGCTCAAGGCAGTCATGCGAACCCTTGGCAGGAGACCTTGACTTGTTGATATGCAAGAATGTTGCCAAAAATCCTACTTGTGTTGATTCAAGTGGCAACTATGGATGTTCCCAGCTTCGAGTCATTCTCTCCAAGAGTTTTGTTAGGTACCCACATGACTTTCTTGACGTCAATAACTTTTTACAAGTTTGGAAGAAGGCATGATTCTCAGGGCTATTACTTTAGCATGATATTATTTTATTTTATTGTTACTTTTATCGCATTTTCCATTGGGTGAGCATTGTCCAAGGAGTGGGGCGTAGAAAATTCTATAACAGAATAGATTCCAGAAACTTATTAACGATGACCTTACGCTCGCGATCTTTGTTAATTGGCAGAGTTTCTACTCCGCCCAACGTAACTCTGACAACTGCAGCCAACTACACAATATGCAGCCAGAGAATGCTTGATCCCGTGTTTCTGGAGATTTCAAATCGCCATAACAGTGCAATCAACCTCACTTCGTGGTTCTACCTGGGATCAGTGGAAGGAGTGCAACGTTCATTTCCTGGTCGTGTAAGCTCTGAACTAGGACTCACGATGGATACAAATAATGTTGAATAAGAATTGCGGGAAACTTGACATTTGGGTTCCTTTTTAATTGAAACAAGTAGCTAGAAACTATGAATATGACTGGAGTGAAATAGCCCGGGACACGATGTTGCAATATTTGAAACTGTTGACTGAATATTGTTGTGGATGTGGATGTGGATATTGTTCAGGACGTGTTACGGAAAAATTGTTTGTTCGATCCACGCAAGCGTCCATGGTGGGTTTCACTATACCTTCTGTTGATCGTTTTGTGAAGAGGATCAAGATCCCCACCGTTTGAATCGACAGTGCCTAGGTCACATTATTTGTATCCATTATATTCTTCTTGTGTGTACAGGTATAAGGCTGCTACAGCCGTAACGAAAGATCTCGTCATTCTTTTGGATGGTGGAAACTCAATGGGAGATGACTTACCTGTTGATATCTTCATTTCCAAAGGCGTCACAAAGTTCGATACATCTATCAATATTATCAAGGCCCTTCTGGACACCCTAACCTATGGTGATCGTGTATCAGTTGTTTTATTCTCAAGTTCCACCGAACCCTACTTGGTGTACAACACGGTAAGTCCACATTGCCCATGCCAAGCATCTATTGAAGATTCACGCGTTTACTCGCTGCATTTTCATTTGCAATGGACAAAAGCCAGGGAATGTTGGGCACATTTACACGAGACTAATTCGTCTCGAGTCTTTGCGTAGAGAACTAACACCTTTGCGTTGATTGCAGACGACAGCCACTTACAACACTACTTTCATGAACCCTTTAAAAGATGAACTAGATAAATTGTCTGTGGATGCCAAACAAGGATCCTCCAATTTCTTATCAGGGATTCTTAAAGTCAATCAAACCTTTTTACCGGAATCCAACTCCAATGCCCTTAAAATCATGGTTGTCCTTACAGACGGACATTTTGCAGACGATACTACTCTGACTTCTACGAGCCCATACCTTACACAGTTGAGGTCACGGAGGGTTCTACCATTGTTCTACAGCTTTGATCGTGATCTTTCTAAGACAGTATTGCCGCAGGTAGCTTGCAATGTGAGTGGGACATATGAGCGGATTGAGAAGACTGTTCTGAATCCTCTTTGGACCTTGCGATCTTACTTTGGAATTATAGCGCGATGGCGCTTACAGGCTGTTAATTACAAGCCCTACTGGAGTAAACCTTACATAGATAGTGGAAGTTCTGGACTGGTTATCACTGTTGCTTATCCCGTCTTTGCCCCGGACAACTACACACTTATAGGGGTAGTGGGGTCCGATGTTCTCTTGACCGAGTTAGGCTCCTTTGCAACCACCGACTTTTCTGCTGCCTTAGCTAATCGTCCGACTGATGATTCCGTCTCTGTCACTCCTGAGCCTCTTTCTTGCAATGTAAGTACCAAATCACTCAAACAAACTAAAGTGACACAGTGATAATGAAGATTGTTCACAATTCTCCATCTCTTGCCTTTAGTGTTTGAGGTTCTTGTCAACTTTGAATGATCGTTTATAATTGTCTTTTGGTTGGGATCATTCTTTCAGGTGACCCTCTCAGAGTTAAACACATGTCCTAATGTCGTAGCCCCTGCGAACCCTCTATGCCCCACCAATGACACCAGCGGCGTTTCATATGAAGAGCGTGTTTGCAACTGTCCTCCCACATGCAAAGCCCCCAAAACCGGTGACACCAAGAGCTCACCATCAAGAGATGTGATCATCGGCGTAACTATTGGAGGTATTTTGCTTGCCCTGGTAGTTGCTGCACTCTTAACCCTGTATTGCTGCAAGCGCAGATTCGAAGACAGGAAGATAGAAAACCAGGTTTCTGTTGTAGCAACCAAATCTGCAAGCTCAGAGAAATCCCTATCTGGAAAACTCAAGGGTGGAAACGGCTTTAAGCGGGGCTCATCTGAATTATCCACCCCCCGGCCTAACTCAGCTATCTCTGGTTCTCCTGCTCGGTATGATTAAACCACATCTATCTATACACGTCGATTGAAAGTACGTTTAGCAAGGGGTTCTATTATGTTTCAAAATCCGTGCGGATTTAAACTTGGTTGCTTCAATAAGGGTTTTTCAGTGCTTGAATGTTCAGGGTTCGGAAGTTCTCATTTCATGCAATTTGATATTTTCTTGTTTCCAATCTAATAGCTCTTATACATGTGCTAATTACGTGCCGTAGGCAAAAGAGTTCCAAAGCTGCAGCTTGGCCAGTGGGTAATCAATCTCTCGGCAGAGATGTGGTCTGTTTCACAATGGAGGAGCTCGAGGAAGCAACCAACAACTGGTCAGAGGCGGCTCTCGTGGGGAAGGGCGCCTGTGGTAGTGTATACAGGGGAGAGCTACACGGCGTGGTTCGAGCCATTAAAAAACCTCATCCAGAGGTCGACGTTGCCAAGTCCACATTTGACAAAGAATTAGACCTCCTGTCGAAGTTGAACCACAGGTGTCTAGTGCGTCTGATCGGTTACTGCGAAGACGAACATGTGCTTGTGTTCGAATACATGCAACATGGAACTGTGGAAGACTGTCTCCACAAGAACCGTCTAGGGAGGCCACTGAGCTGGGAAGAGCGACTGAAAATCGCCGCAGGAGCTTCTAAGGGACTAGAGTATCTGCACGAGTATGCTACCACCATGATCATCCACGGCGATGTTAAGCCAGCCAACATCTTGTTAGATGACAAGCTTGAGGCCCACATTTCAGACTTCGGGTTGTCTCTCTCTAGCCACGACCAAAATGCGCAAATGCTGTGGGCTTCACGCATGGGGGGTACTCCAGGGTACTTCGACCCGGAGTATGCTTCCCTTGGTTCTTTCACGCCCAAGAGTGATGTCTACAGCTTTGGAATTGTGCTTCTGGAGATTCTCAGTGGGCGGAAGGTGGTGCACGAGAGGAGAAACATCACAAGCTGGGCTGCTGAGATGTATGAACAAGACGTTGCGGCTGTATTGGACCCCAGCTTGGAGCCACCTCAGGGAGTGGATTCTTTTCACGCCATCATAGCCCTGGCTCTGCAATGTGTGCAGACCGAGCATAGATACCGTCCAAAAATGAAAGACGTGGCTGCCAAATTGAGTAATGCAGCTGCAGATTGGCACAAATTTGAACAGGAGAGTTCGCTGAACGATAAAAAGCATCCGAGTCGGAGGCAGCATCCCCAGTACCGGCCCTTGTCCTATCCTTCAGACGAATTCGAAGTGGGATCTTACTTACATTAAGACACTTCAGCAGAATCATGGCACGTCTCGATCAACATCAAGGCCTTAGCAACTTTGGCCCAGTGACACAATCGCCAAAGCCTTACACTAATTCTGGAACGTTGCAATTTGGGAGTATCGAATGACCTGCTGGCAGCCTGCTGCTGTGCACGTGCGCACAAACTTTCAAAAGTAGTGGGTGATTTTCTCCGCTTCAGATGCAGCCAGATGCAGCCAGATGCGGGTTGGTTCAGAATATTCCCGCCGCATTGACTACGTCACGCACTTCTTTCAACCTGGTTATGGGCAGATGATCAGTCCTTCTCTTGACACAGTTCAAACCAGGATTTAGTTGCACTTCAATTCTAGCTGATCAATTGTAGTCTATACGGTTCAGTTTCTATAGAATCTGCCTAATCATTGACTTCGTTACTTCTGCTCAGGTCGATTTGTCTCTGGTTGTTTTGATGCGTAGCGTTTCGCTTGAAACACTCGAGCTAGTCTAAAGGTATTGAGAGTGAATCTTCAGTATTGGCAAGTACTGAGGGTTATCGTCCACCAAACTTGCCAACTATCCCATGTGTTACACGTTTTTACTTCTGGGTGATCTTCCCAAGGGGCCGTTTAGACTGCAGGCCAATGATTCAACTTGTAACACTAGCGCTTAGGCTGAACTTTTCGTCAAACAAGCTTTTTAGGTCTTCGGCTGTGTACATAAGCTTCAGTGCCACCTCGTTATTTGACTCTTTCCCCCTAGATGGCTCGACAAATCTTCCCCATGTGGGGTCAAGATATATCATTAATGAGCAGAGCACGAGAGAATCTTCCAGTCAGCAATTGATGGATTCAACAAAAAGATTCAGGGTCTGGTTGCACTTTCCTCAATCGTCTTGGACTCGTGCTAGCCAATATTACTGCAAGCCTGACTTCCTGAGATGGTTTACCATGTAAACTAAAGTGCGAACACTAGATCTGATCATATGAGGATATACATCCCCTTGACAAATTCTCCACCGACCAAGTTTGTCAGCAAGAGAACCTCCGCCAATACTTCCGGAGAACGTGCCTGAAGCTACACGTAAGGGACTCTGGAGCTCTGTGCCACCATTCAATGAATCGGCAGACCTCACATTTCAGGACATCGGAATGTTCCATTTCACCTACAGCTTGCCTCACGGTTCTTGTGGAAATGCCTGAAAATCGTGAACAATTGTGACAATTTATAAAAGCCTAGCAGCATCGACATAATTCGGTTTTAGGTAACGACGGCATCTTTTCCACCTCAACTCCAGTAAGGTGGTCAGTGTTCACGTTGCAATCATGTCTTTATTCGGTGCATGTGAACATGTGCAGTCATACAGTAATTACAACTTAAAATAAACTCAGTGCAAATAAATGTTTAATTGAAAATACCTATCTGTAGATTATAAGTTTGGTACAGACAGTTGCATACGACACATCATGAAACATATGATGAAACACAAAATAAATATACCAGGGTCCCTCAATACTATTCAGGGGGTTGGTTTTTATAAATATATTAATTTATGCCCGTTCTCTTGAATCTCGGTTAAATACTGGAAAATAAATTTTATTACTTTATATTATATAATATATGAATTTTTCAATGCCAGTACACATCACATGTTTCTTGATGAGACCACACTCTGTATTTAATGGAAAAGAACAAAATATTAAACCCCTCAGTGCATTCAAGAGACCTTTCGAGGCTCAATCAACACAAAGAAACTTCTCGTTGACATCTTGGATGCATAAAAATGGTCCTGATCTGAATCCAGAGAATATGTTTTTTCTAGTAGGGCTGAGGTCAACGGCATGCTTTGTATCACCGAAGGGCCTAGTTTCGAGAGTTGCAGAGATGATTCCTACAATGAGAGCCAGGCGGACAAAACCTAGGGTGGCAAAAGCAATTTAAAACTCATGGAACATGTGGGTGAATCTGATTCCAAAACAGGAAACGAGGAATCGGATTCCAGCACTGCCCGAAGCACGAAACGGTAGTTAAAGATGACACGGTGAAATATACGTCAGAGTTCAGCGAGTACAATCACGAAAATTTACACAAGCAGCTGCAGTCGAGCGCATGCCCAAGTTCGTGCTGGGAGCAGAAGTCTTCTATAGTTTAGTAGGCAGTGGCAGCCTGATTTCAATATCGGTCCTCATCAGCATGTCCGTTTGTGCCTCTAACGTTGGGCTGTTGGCTTTTGCAACCTGTAGCAATTTCTAACGAAGGCATGGTTTCTCTGATGTGTGTTCAATGAGATTAAGTATCCTTGTCATCACTTTTCTAGTATGACCTCAGCTGAGAAAGGAAGTAGCCATTGTTGAGAATGACCCAAATAAGTGAATCGCAACTGAGTTGTTCAAGAGGGGCCGGAGTCAGGTTGGGACTCGGAGCAGAGCAGCAAGATGTGATCGACTGATGTCTACTTCCGGTGTGGGTGTTTATGTCAGATCAGCAAACACGCTTTCCAAGTATTCGCATGTGAGGTTGCTGTAGTGGTGATTGTGATTAGATTCAATCCCGTCAGCATTCAGCAGCCCCTTGGGGAAGTTTTCCAGTATATGAATTTGGATTAAGTCGGATAGGTCGACCTCTACTGCTGCATAACCAGTTACAAACTCAGAAAAGTTTCTTCAAATTTCGATCAAGGGCTGGATCAGGCACTTCGAGAGAAGACCAGAGTACAGAGCAAGTTCAAGCCTGCGGCATAAGAGGCAAGGCTTGGATCTAGTGGGTATCATGAGCTTGATGAAGAACCACGTCTACAACTGCTCAACAGATTGACAAACATCTGCAATCTCAGTGCAATGAGCAATGCTAGTGCTGGATTCTAGCACAAGAGTATTGAACGGTGCACAATGGACATGGATCTTGCTGTTGATCGTCTAATCATCGAACTCTTGAGCAATAAGACTCAATCGTAGGAAATGTAGACATGAGAGCTCACACGAACAGCGAGACCAGAGACTGAACTCAAAAAAGACCAGAACTGGGATTCCAGAGACCAATGCAAGTGCACTGAATGCAAGATTTTGGAGACATTTCGTCAGGATTGGAATGCTGGAGATTGGCTTACATGACGTGTGATTCAGAATGACTTTGAAGAATTTCAGACGTTGCAGGTGTTTCATAGTTTGCTACAATGAAACATCACCTAGAAGCAGATGTAATGTAAAAAAGTTAGAAAGTAGAAATTGCAGTAGTCTGTTATATGCTGGTGAAAGTTTCTTGCATGTTTTCTGAGTTTTGAATGAAGAGGTGAGGATTTGGAGGATTGAATATAGTTGGGAGATGCTGAGATGAGGACCTGTTATTTTTTTACTTTCAGAACTACTAATTTGAATTAATGATATGACTGCAATACTAATTATAGTTCATGAAGAATTTTTTTTGAAAAAATTGAAAATTTGTTTGATTAAATGCTCCATAATTTGAAACTTAAGGAAATATCTACATATATGCAAACAATCCTGTGTGTGTGTATATATATATATATATATATATATATGTATATTTAGTCAATTTTGTTTTAAAAAGAAATTCCAAAAATTGATCAGATGTGCAGTTTTTTTCATGTTTTGAATTTCCTAAAAACATGAAATTTATTTTTAAAAGAATAAACTCTCTTAAAAAAATGTAGCAAGTTGGTCATGATTCTTTTTGTAAAAAATAAAATCTAAAATACAAAAAAGTAAATGGATTCATTTCTTTTTAGAAGTAAAATAATAAGATGTCCATCAAAGATACAAACTCAAGGAGACTTAATTTTTGCTCAAGGACACTTAATTTTAGAGCTGGTTTATTTTATTCTTTGAGTTTGCTTGAATGGACTCAATGAAGTATCTCTCAACAATGTCCTCTGTATTGGTCTCCAAATTGCTCAAAAAGGGGCATTGCATTTAGACTCTTCATGTCCACAAGATTTGCTTGTGTTTTGCTTTCTCCTCATTTGTTAAGTTGTTTTAGTTTGCTGTCAAGGTTCTTCTTTTGCTCAACTATTATGTTAAGTTCACAATATTTTTCATCATGGTCATTGTGAATGAAAATAAATCCCCACTAATTGGAAGTCTACTCTAAGCCACCTCAAATTCTTATCTTATAATTAAGTAATATAAAAATATTATTCTAAGTTTTTACTAAAAGACTCCTTTAAATACTTTAAACTACCCTTAAGATCACTAAAAATAACTCACAAACAATCATGCATGTAAATGAATCTCAAGTTCTCAAGTCTTCAACAATTTTTTATATATTTTTAAAATATTCTTCATCCATACAATTTATCATCTGCAAATGAGTTTTCATCCACTAATAAAATTTCATTTATGAACAAAAATTTACCTACAATTTGAGTTCATCCAATTCAAAACGTCATCTAATCCTAATCTAATTCATCCAACTTTAACCTAATTTGTTAACCACATTCAAGTCAACCCTTAATAATATTTAATTGTGTCTAATTATTTATTGATTTGTTTCTATTTCCTACAACAAAACTTGAAGGTCTAGGGCCTAGAAATATCATGGTACAGCAAAAGAATTCACAGGTTCTTAGTTCTGAATAGCATCGATGTGGATCCTTTCATGCACGGGAACACCGAACAACTGATGGAGATTTCAATTGCCAGGCACCTCTTCTCTTCGACGTTCTCTTAACTCAGAGCGCTCTTCCTATTCGCAATCGAAACTACACTACCTCGATGGCACGAACAAGCTTGCAACCACCACTAAACTCCTACTAGGCTACAGCAAGACCAGACGTGGTTGATAAGAATTCCTCCAAACGCTTCCACAAAGTGAGGAGGGAAATCAGCAACAGCACAACAAGTGCCTGGACCAAGAATAATGGGGAGGAAACACCGCCACCTTGCTCAACACCCAGTAAAAATGCCGCACAACGCTTCTCCGCCGCAGCACTAAGGAAGTATTAAATCTGCACAGCAATACACTGCCACACAGGCGATTGACGACACAGTTGCAAGAAATTACAGCTTGCCCTTGCTCCCTTGAACCGCCACTCTACAATGCCACAGTCTCCACGTTGCGAGCTGACAGCAGTCCACGCGATGACAAGGTGCACCGAACCTCACATTGCAAGCTAGATGGTGTTCAACCGCTGACGTCAAGTGACGCCGCACCGCACCCCAACTCCACTGAGCCTAGAGACTACCGGAACCGCGCCGACTAGTTCCTTCTACCGCGAGATCCGCACTTCGAGGAACACCGACAAAAGGAAAGAGTGGTCGCCGCTGCTGTCACATTGCAACGAGAACAACTCCAACACACATGAATCCCACTGTCACAGTCGCCGGAGCTCTGGACTCCGCCACACCTCCGCCACACTGTCGGAACAGAACACAGGATGACTCCAGCAACTTCGCCTCGACTAACCGAGCCGTCAACGGAACAAAAACAGAAAAGAGATCTAAAAGAAAACAGTCGCGCCCTCTGCAACGCATTCCAACAAAACAACGGAAGGAAACAAATCCCGACTCTCTCAATGCGAGAGAGTACACACTACCTCTGCGGATTCAGCCGCAGCACCCTACAACACGGAACTTCCGGAGCTCAAAAACCAAAAAAAAAAAAACAAGGAAGAATTACGTCAAGCCAGGGACCCTTGTCGACAGCGGCTGTCCCTGGAAGACGGAGCACTTCGATACACGGGCAGTCCAATATCCGGCAGCCCG